GACGATGATGATGCTGATGATGATGATGATGATGATGACGGTGATGATGATTATGATTATGATGGCGGAGCAAATTCTGAGGATGTCTTAAGCGAGGCGCGGGGGAGCCGCCAAAGGTTCTATCACTCCTCCGTTCGCGCCAAAATAGCGGGGTTGTCTCGAGCGGTTTGCTTGTTTCTGTTCCCGACGTCCTCCGCTTTTGGAGCAGATTTTGAGGATGTCTCGAGCGAGGCGCGGATTTCAGCACCCCCACGGGGGAGGGGGCCCGGCGTATTTGTTTATCTATCTATATATATATATATATAATACGTATATGTGTATGTGTATGTGTATGTATATGTATATGTATATGTATGTATATCTGTATATACATTTGTATTCTATAGGTACATATACACATGTGTGAAACAACCCAACGAAATGTACTAGATGCAACAAAGGTGAAGAGGCGGGTCGAACAATAGGTCGAGAACACGGCCACGTGCACCCTACTGTGTTTTTTTTACAACGGGCAGTGGCCGTCCGGACCGATAATGTGGCTGGCGACCATACCGTGTATACCTTTACACGGGATCTTGGCTAGCATTCAAGCGAGAACACGACTCCTGAATAAATTATGACGAAATATCATGCGAAAGACCTGCCCGATCGGGCGGTTTTGGGTTCCCCGTCCCTCCTGTGGTGCTCTTCTGTGGGCTTTTCACTTCTCTTCGACCGACATTTTGGCGACAGCACGACTCCGGAATGAAATGTGAGGGAATCTCACGCGAAACCGCCGCCGGACCGCTGAGAGCACAACCGTGGGCACGACAGTCTTCTTGTCACAGGGGGTCGTGGCCGTCGGGACCAAACATGCTGCCAGCATTCAGGCGAGAGCACGACTTTCGAATACGTTTCCAAGAGAAATCTCAAGCGAAACTGCGGCCGCACCGCTCTGGACGGGACGGTCTCGGGCTCTCTTGGCTATCCGCCCCCCCCTAGTGGGGCTGTGCTGTTGCCTTCTTCAGGTTGCGTGGTGGCTATACTTTTTCTTTAGAAGTGTCTGAGCGACATCCTACCAAAGGAAAAACATCTGTTTTGGGGGGTAGAACAAATTCCAAAGTGTGGCCGACAGGTGGGGGTGGGGTGATCGGGATCTGGGTGCTCTAGAAGGCCGGTGTTGCCTCGACCTGCGTCCGTCTGGCACTCGCGCAGGCAGGAGTGGGGTGGGGTGGGGTCCTGTGCAGCCGAGATCTGGTCGAATGGGGGGGGGGAGGAGGAGGCGGAGGAGGAGGAGGAGGAGGAGGAGCAGGAGGAGGGGGAGGAGGAGGGGGAGGAGGGCCCGCGCCGATCGGTGAAACAAAAATCAGCAAGCACGGTGACAACACAATGCAACCTTCCGTCGGGATCTCTCGTGGGCCCGAGCGCGTCTGGAGCGAGGGGGGCCCGCGCGGCCTCGTTCTCCGCCCGCTCCTGCGACGAGCGCAGCCGCCGCAGCTCCTGCTCGGCCGCCGAGGCCTGTCCCGCCGCCCGCCCCCTCCCCCGCGGGCGCCCCCCCCCGCCTGGGCGGCCGGAAGCTTGCTGGGCCTTCTGAGAAGGCCTGTCCCCTCTGCCTTTCCGTCTGGGGAGCCGCCGGAGGGTTGCCGCATCATGCCCCGGGGCACGTGTGCGGATGGGGAGGGGTAAGGAACGCGCTGAACGGAGACGATGGAGACGACAAACATTCATAATACCAAGAAGTACAACCACAATAGTAGACATGAAACCAAGACAGAAAAGCATAATGCTGATAAGTTATACGACGAATCATACATATGCAGTCTAGCAAGACGACACATCGTAATCATAAAAACAAGCCGCTTAATACATATAATAGTGATAATACCGAAGATAGGGGGGCAAGACGTCGTCTCGAAGGTGGAGGTCCTTCTGCGCTGAGATCCAGAAGCTCGCCAGGGTGGCGACGAACGGGCTGCGGCACTCGAGTCCCCGAAGGATGCCATGCCAACGCTGAAAATCAAGCGACACGGCACTGCTTTCTCGGGGCGGTTGGCCGCGCTGGCCGGGAACTTCATGGCCCCGGCCGTGACACCCACACGCCCCTAGTCCTCACCCCCCCCAATGGGGGGCCTCCCAAAACGGGCTCCGCAGCAGACGGGGTCAGAAGGTCGCACCACGTCGCTGATGCATCGACAATGCACCGGCGATGCACCGGCGGCCACGGGACGGTCAAGGCCGGGCTCTGGCCATCGCTCGGACGTCCATTTCCCGTGCTTTTCTCGGTTTCGTGCGTGTTTTTTTCGCCAAATGATCAAGGATGCTCCTCGATGGTCCTCGCCAAAGGAAAAATGCACACGTGCGAGCGATGCCAAGGACTCAGGGTCGCGCCGCACCGCCGATGCCCCGGCGGTGCGGCGCGATCCTTCCGACCGAGGCTGGTACGGCCCCACAGAGGGAAAGGAGGGGAGGGGACGCAAGGCCGTCCACGGCGCCGGGCCCAAAAAGAAGCCCAAAAGAGGCCCCAGGAGGACCCCATGGTATGCACGAAATCATCTAGTACGTTGACAGACCTTATCGGTGTTCTCACATCTCTGAAAAGAACTGCCCACGCCCCCCCACTCCCACAGAGAGCGAGAGGAGAGGTCCAGGTCGAAGACTCATCAATGCGGCCTGCACGAAATCTCCGGTAAAGAGACAGGGGCCCTCCAAAAGCAGCCCCCCAGAGGCCTCAAACCCGCCACCAGGAGGCCCCCGAGAGGCCTCGAGGAGATCCCAACGACCATCCAAGAGGCGTCAGACCCGCAACCCAGGCGCGATGGCGGGATGGGCCGAAGGCCATTCGATAGAGAACCAGCCCCTCGGGCAGCGGTACAGAACCGCGATGGACTTCTGCGTGACATTTTCTTGACCGGGGCCCAGGGACACACAACTAGATAGACACAAATCCCAGGATCCCCTATTTTCCCACATCGTCTGGGTTTTCGTTTCCCCCTCCCCCACTTCACATATTTCCCCCTATTTTCAAAGGACTCGCCGATGAATCGTGTCTGTGTGCGTTTTCCCCTCCTGAATTTTCACCCTCTGGGGGGCCCTATCTCCGAGCCCCGGGCCCGCCCCTATGAGAAAGGCAGCTCGGGCCGAGCATCGGGTCTCCCCGGGATGGGGTCGAAGCCTCTGGGGATCCACGCTGTGCTCCTCCACCCGTCGCCCCTCCTCCTCTTCCAAATTCTTCTTTCTCGGGCGTTGGCAGAACTGCGTTTAGTGGGACCTGGTTTAGCGATGGGTACTGGGGGACGCCCCCCCCTCCCCGTTCCACTTACCGGAACTGCCGCCGATACAACTCCAGCTGCAGCTGCAGCAGGCCTGGTCTAGCGACTCTGGCCAATCTGGCGGCTCTGGGGCCCCACTACCAACCGGGTCCCCTTACCTGGGGTCCTGGGCTTAGTGGGCCCCGCAAACGGCAGGGCCGTTTTTTCACCGTTTCCAAAGAAATGTCCTTTGAACATGGAAACAGCAAAAAAAACGGCGACCAGAAACGGCAAAACAAACGGCTCTAGGATTGGAACCGGAGCCGGAACCGGTCAACAAACGGCGACGGAACCGGTAAAACAACGGCGTCGGAACCGGCAGAAAAACGGCAAAACGGAACCGGTAAACAAAAACGGCCCTGTCGTTTCCAGGGCCCACTGAGGTCCTGGGTATACCCGACTTTCCACCGTCTGCCCCACCCTCTTCCTACAAGTGTAGCGTTACAGGGAGGAATGCGGAACAACCTGCCGGCCCCCCTTGCGGGGCCACCAGGCTGCAGGGTGAGGGCTGCAGACCCCTGCACCAGTTGCAGTCTCAAGTCTCCAATGTTACAGTCCTGCTTTCCGTTTCCTACCGTCAGCTGGTATTGTCCGCGCGAGGGGGGGAGCTGAGAAGAGCCCTGGTTAGCACTCCCAGGAGGGTTCTCAGAATTTCTAGGGGATCGCGGGGCACATAAAAACACGCGAGATCTGCACATCCGAAGCCAAACACCCTCGCAAATTGCTATAGAATCGCGCAGCCGAGGCCGCAATCCCTAGCAAATTGCACGATACTCGCGCTGTCAAGCCACGATCCCTGGGAAATTGCACCGTGTTCGCGCTGCCGACGCCACAATCCTTCGCGAATTGCGGTGGGTTCACGCTGCCGAAACCAGACTAGCAAATTGCACCGTATCCGCGCTGTCGAAACCGCGATCCCTTGCAAATTGGGCCATGCTCGCGCTGCCGAGGCCACAATCCTTTGCAATTTGCTATAGTTTGTGTGCCGAGGCCACAATGCCTGGCAAATTGCGCCGCACTCGCGCGGCAAATTGGGCCATGCTCGCGCTGCAGGGGCCACAATACATTGCAATTTGCTGCAGATTCGCGCTGCCGAGGCCACAATCCCTTGCACATTACACCGTATTCGCGCTGCCGAGGCCACAGTCCCTTGCAAACTGGGCCATGCTCGCGCTGCAAAGGCCACGATCCCTTGCACTTTGCATCATGTTCGCGCTGCCGGGGCCGCAAACCTCTGGAAATTGGGCGATGTTCGCGCTGCAAAGGCCATGATCCCTTGCAATTTGCATCATGTTCGCGCTGCAGGGGCCACAAACCTCTGCAACAGTGGGCGATGTTCGCGCTGACGAGGCCACGATCCCTTGCAACTTGCGCCGTGCTCGCGTTGCCGAAGCTACGATCTTTTGCAAGTCGGGCCAGGATCGCGAAGCCGACGCCGCAGTCCCTTACACTTTGCGCCATAATTTATTGCAGTGTGCGCCATAGTCGCGCTGCCGAGGCCACAGCCCCTTGCACATTGCATAGAAAGGTTGCGTTGCCGAGGCCGCAGTCCCTTGCAAATTGGGCCACGCGCGCGCTGCACAGGCCACAATCCCTTGCAATGTGCGCCGTGCTCGCGCTGCCGAGGCCGCAATCCCTTGCACATTGCTCCGAATTCGTGCTGCCGAAGCTACAGCCCCTCGCAACTTGCACAACACCTGTGCTTCCGACGCCACGAGTCTTGCATAGCACTCGCGTTCTCGAGGCCACAATCCAGCGTAAGTTGCGCCGTCTCCGCGTCACCGAAGCCACGATCGATGGCAACTTGCTAAGTACTCGCGTTCCCGAAGCCACGCGCCCTCGAAACTTACACAATGGTCGCGTCCCCGAAGCCACGTTCGCTAGTACATTGCTCCATGTTCGCTTCCCCGAAACCACGTTCTCTCGTAAGACACGCCGAGGAAACCCACGACCGTCCAAGGTGAGCGTTTTCGCCCGACGCACCCTCAGGTAGCCCACGATCGTTCCAACTGGGCAGCCGATGCACAGCATGACGGGCAGTTCGCAAAAAAAGGTAGCACGAGCTCAACGCTATCATCTTAATACAATTTCTTGAAGATTACCCATAGTCCTCGCACGAGGTTTCGATGCTGATTCGCGACGACGGCCAGGCATCCCAACATGGATCCTGCAAGTCCCATCGTGATGGGGAGTAGGCCGGCGGCAGAAGGCGCAGCCCTTGCGGATAACAGGGAACGGCTTCTCTCTGGCCACGGTGTTTCGGCTGCATCCAAAGGGACGGCCTGGAAACGACCCCACACCCTGAACCCAACGCGGTCCTCACCCCAGCGCCTGGACTGTAATGTCAGCTCGTGATTCACAAATCCGTGGGGGGCGCGCGATTAAGAAAATTGTTCCCCCTCTCGGGCGAGTTGCGGGGTGGCGCCCGCGAGTTTGAAAATCAACGGGGCGGCGCTGGTGATTAGCGCCGACGCCCGGCCGCCAACGAGGGGGCGACAGACAGCAGAGACAAGGGGAGGGGAGGGGGGCGGGAGGCAAAGGCGGCAGAAACAGGGACCATGAGCCAGGGGGACATCTGTTTGAAGTGAAAAAGAACTACTGTCGGCGCTCGCCCCCGCACTTTCCGTGCTCTTCTGTCGAACCGATGCGCTTCCTTTGCCCTGGCCGCGGCCAGGGGGGCGCCAATTGCCTCGCGGGCCCGCGAACAGGCGGGCTGGGCGAACGGGGGGCGTGGCCAAGAGGGGATTTGCCCAGCAACTCACGTTGCTGATTTTCCGAACGCTCCCTGGCGCCGAAAGCGGCCATACATCGAGGACTGGCCCTTCGGCGGGGCGACCGAAGCCAGGTTTCGCAACCCCCCTTTCCTTCCCCAGCCTTTCGTCCGACCCGAGCCAGGCGGGCAGTCCTCCTCCCCCCTTCTGTCGTGGTCTCTGTAGTCGCCGACGACGACGACGACATCGACGACGACGACGACGACGACGACGACGACGACGACGACGACGGGACGAGGACGACGAGCGGCGGACGGCAGACGGCGGCGGCGGCGACGACGATGACGAACTGCAGATGCCCTATTGAGGGGGAGGGGGGGTGTGCTGCGCAGGCCCGCTGTAGCCGACGACGACGACGAAGACGACGACGCGACCACGACGACGACGACGACGACGACGACGACGACGACAAGGACGATGAAGAAAAGAAAGACGACGACGACAGCGGCGGCGGCGACGACGACGACGACGACGACGACACCTGGGAGGGGGAAAGACTCGCCTCGGATGTATGAACGACCCCCGTAAGAACTTCTATGCGAAAGGCAGTCGTTTTGAGGCTGTCATGCAGGGGGGTACGCGATCCCCTCGGCGGCGCCGGCGACGATCCCCTGGCGCGCGTGATTAAGAAACATGTTTCGCGCCCCGCGGGGTCTATTCATCAGCTCCCGGGGGGGGGGGTCGGGTCATTTGTTAATCACACGCTGACACTGTTGTTAGGTCGGGCGTGTCCCCCTACAGGCGGACTTTGGGCGACAAATTGAAATAGTCATGCAATACTAGAGAATAGCAGCACAATGCTCAAAACATCGTTCCCAGACTACGTTTTGACTATTTGAATGTGCCTCCTGCAGAGGGACAAGCCCGACTTAACATTATTCGTCCTCCGCCTCGCCCTCCTCTCCTCCCGGCGGAGGCGAAATCGGCACTCTCAGCCTCTCCCTCCTCCCAGCCCGAGGCCCTCTCCTCCCAGCCTCTCCCTCCTCCCAGCCCCCTCCTCCTAGCCTCTCCCTCCCTCTCCTCCTCTCCCTCCTCCCAGTTCTCCGCCTCGCCTCCTCCCAGCCCCTCTCTCCTCCCAGCCCGAGGCCTCCTCCCAGCCCGGCGGGGCCGAACTCGGCCCCGCGTCCTCGTCGCCAAGGGGGGGGGCAACTGAGCAGGGCGGCGCTGGCCCAGCCGCGCCCGCAGCCGCACGGATGCCCTGGGTGGGCACACGCGGAGCTCGGCGGCGGGCCCCGAGGGCTGGCTTCCGCCGACCTTCCGCCTGCTTCGGCCAGCGATCCCACCGATGTTCCACTCCAGCCAGCCTCCACCAGATGCGCAGCGAGCTGCACAGACACAAGCACAAGCCTTCGGCGCTCCGCGCGGACTTCTTGGATCGGCGCTGGGAGCCCCTGGCGCGCTCCGAACGCCAGGGAGGGGGGTCCAACGCTAATCCAAGAATCCGCGCGGGGAGCCGACGTGCACGCGGTCCTTTGCTCTTCGATTCCGCGGGCCTCCGCCGAGGAAGACATGTCAACCCCTCCTCTCGACGACGAAACCCTTTCGGGATCGCTCTCACTGGATCCGGCGCTGGATGCCCGCGCCGGATTACCGCGGGGCTGCACGACAGACTCTGGGCCTCTTGACAGGAGAGCCCGAAATCGAATCGATCAGTCGGATGGCCAATCGAAATAAACCGGATCGGAGGAAATCGGCAGCCGAGTCGGGAAGAGTCGAATCGGCGGAAATCGGCAGGCTAGTTGGCCTCAGTTGAAAAATCGGAGCCCGAATCGGCATCCCAAATCGAATCGAATCGGAATCAGAAGCCCTCGAAACCGACTGGAATCGAATCGGAGAAATCGGTGCGAGACCTGGCGGGGCTGCACGACGGACTCTGTGCCCCTCGACGGGTCTGCGGGCGCGCGGCTCGCCGGGATGCGGGGGCCGCGCAGGGCGGCCGACCGCGGCAAGCCCGCGTCGAGGCCACGACACGGGCGCCCGTGTAGGTTCCCAAACTCTCCATTGTATTCCCTTCCTCCCCCTCCCTCCTTCTCCTCCTCCTCCTCCTGCTCCTCCTCCTCCTCCTCCTCCTCCTCCTCCCCTTTTCCTCATCCACCTCGTCATCCTCCTCCTGCTCCTCCTCCTCCCTCTCCCCCCTCCCCCTCCCCACGCTCAGGGGCGGGTGGTAATGGGGGGTGACCCAAGCGGGGGGTGCAGAGAAGGACCCAGAAGGGGCCCCATCAGGGCCCCTTTTTGGAGCCAGCTGGTGTCCCAAAGGGGCGCTACACGGACCCTGTCGGGCCTGTTTCTTCGCCTCACATTTGGGCCACCCCCACTTACCACCCGCCCTACCCCCATCTGTCCCTGCCCACTGGCATGAGCAATTCCCTCCCTCTCCTCTTCGTCCTCTTCCCCTCCTCGTCCTCCTCTTGTGCCCCTGCCTTGTCCCCCCTCCTGGTGGTTGCATCCCTGATCGGGGGGCTATATTGCTGGTACTTTTAAGCCAGGGTGGTTAGGACATCTCGATGGCGCTTTCAAGCCAGCGGGTGAGGATACTTCGCTGGCAGTCTTAAATCAGGGGGGCGATAAGTGAGTATACTGCGCCTGCAGTTTTGGGCCAGAGGGGGGTGAGTATATTTCGCTGGACATTTCGCCTCCAGTTTTGGGCTTAGGGGGTGGGGATCGTTCGCTTGCCCTTTGAGGGCGAGGGGGGCGAGGTTTGCGAGAATACTTCGCTTCCAGTGCTGGGCCATGGGGGGAAGACGTTGTGCTGACAGTTTTACGCCAGGGTGTGTAGACATTTCGCAGGGCGTATATACTCAGGGGTGGCAGTGTGTAGCACTGTGCGCACACATGCCGCCCCCCGTTGGGGGCCGTACTGGGCCCAGCCCAGGGTTTTCGCAGGGGCAGCCCCCTCCCCCGTCCCAGACCTCCGACGTCCCGACGTCATGATGCTTCCTTCCATCACGTCGGCCCCAAGAGGTCTCGACCAAATCCCTAGGACCGATTTTTCAGCATGAAATGTTTTTTGACCGAGACCTCCCAGAGGCCGAAACAGAATGAGATACACCTTCCGCTGTGATCACTTCATGACTCGACGGGGTCGGGGATCTCCTGACACGGGTCAATCCAGCCCCGGGTCAGTCAGGCCTTGCAAAGTCCTGCAAGATCCTGCACCCAAGTCCGGGCCAATGCGAAGGCTCCTGCAAGATCCTGCAGGATCCTGCACCCAAGCCCGGGTCAATGCGACCCTGGCCGTAGGTCGGGCGTGTCCTCCTACAGGCGGATTTTGAACGACAGATACATAAAATTGTCCCCCCCCAGAAAAAAACAACCAAAATGCAACAAAATAGTCAACACATCGTCCCAGAGTACTTGTTGACCTTTTTTAACACTCCTCCTGAAGAGGGACAGGCCCGACTTAACCCTGGCCCTGCAGGATGCTGCAAGATCGGGCGCTCTGGCTGACCCCCGTTTGCATTGACCCCCGTCTCAAGGCTCCCGAGGGGGCCTGGGCTCGCCTGCGCCCGGCCGGCTTTGAGCCGCCCCGAGAAACCGCCGTGGCCGCAGCCGTGGAGCCGCCGTCGTAGTCGTCGACTCCGTCGTCGTCGTCGTCGTCGTCGGCGGCGTGTGCGTCGTCGCCGTCGGCGTCGGCGTCGGCGTCGGCGTCGGCGTCGGCGTCGTCGTCGTCGTCGTCGTCGTCGTCGTCGTCGTCGTCGTCGTCGTCGTCGTCGTCGGCGTCGGCGTCAGCGTCGGCGTCAGCGTCGGCGTCGGCGTCGGCGGCGGCGGAGTCAGCGTCGGCGTCGGCGTCGGCGTCGGCGTCGGCGTCGGCGGCGGCGGCGGCGTCGGCGTCGGCGTCGTGGTCGTGGTCGTGGTGCCGCCGCCGTCGCGGAGCTGCCGCCGCCGTGTGCCGCAGGCGCCCCTCCCCCCCCCGGGGGGCGGCCGCCGAGGCGCCGCGCAGCCGGGGCGACGCGGCGGCCTGGCGAGGGGCGGAGGGCTCGGGCGGGGGGCGCGGCGGGGAGGCGGGTCCTCCCCGGGTCCCCTTCGGCCCGGGCTGGGGGCGGGGGGGGGAGGGGGGAGCGGAAGGGAGGGGAGGGGCGGGGCGGGGGGGGAGGGCGGGGCTGGGTGGCGTGTGGAGGGGGGAAGGGGGTGAGAGGGGGGAGGGGCGGGGGGGAGAGGGGGGGGGAGGCGGCCAACGACGGCGCGAGAAATGCGTCGACCCGACGTGCGATGTGTGCGCGTGCGGCGTGCGTGCGATGCGTGCGTGCGTGCTGCGTGCGTGCGTGCGCGTGTGCGTGTGTGTGTGTGTGTGTGTGTGTGTGTGTTTGTGTGTGTTGGGTGTTTGTGTTTGTGTTTGTGTTTGTGTTTTGTGTAGTGTGTATGTGTGTGTGTGTGTGTGGTGTGCGTGTGCGTGATGCGGGCGTGTGCGTGTGCGTGTGCGTGTGCGAGTGCGTGTGCGTGTGCGTGTGCGTGCGTGTGCGTGTGCGTGTGCGTGTGCGTGTGCGTGTGCGTGTGTGTGTTCGTGTGTGTGTGTGTGTGTGTGTGTGGTTGTGTTGTGTGCGTGGCGTGTGCGTGTGCGTGCGTGTGCGTGTGCGTGTGGCGTGTGCTGTGTGTGTGTGTGTGTGCTTGTGTGTGTATGTGTGTTGTGGTGTATGTGTGTGTGTGTGTGTGTGTGTGTGTGTGTCTGTGTGCCTGTGTGTTTCTGTGTCTGTCTGTGTGTGTGAGTGTGCCGGTGGCGCCTATGGTCTGAGACTCCGCAACCTATACGCCGCCGCCGACAGCACCCACGGTCAACAAAAGAGGGCAAGGGAAGCCAAAACGTGGGGCGGCCGCACTCCCCAGAGGGAGGAGGGAGGGGAAGGAGGAGGAGGAGGAGGTGGAGGAGGAGGAGGAGGAGGAGGAGGGGACGGATGATGCTGCTGATGATGATGATGATTGAGATGATGGATATGATGAGGATGAGGAGGAGGAGGAGGAGGAGGGGAGGAGAGGAGGAGGAGGAGGTGGAGGAGGAGGAGTTGGGAGGGGAGGGAGGTGGAGGGAGAGGAGAGCGGGAGGGGGAGGAGGAGAAGGTGAAAGACGAGGAGTGAAAGAAAAAAGAGGAAAGGAGGAAGAGGAGGAGAAGGAGCGGAGGAAGAGGAGGGGTGGAGGTGAGGAGGAGAGGAGGAGGAAAGGAGGAAAGGAGAAGAAGGAGAGGAGGAGGAGGGAGGAGGAGGAGGCAGGAGGAGGAGGAGGAGGAGGAGTGGAGAAATGGAGGGAGAGGAAGGATGAGAGGAGTGGAGGAGGAGGAGGATGATGAGGAGGAGGGGAGAGGAGGAGACGGAGGATGCGAAGGAGGATCATGGATAGAGGAGGAAGAGAACGGGGCGGCTGTAGGGAGTACAGGAGAGGAGGAGGAGGGAGGAGGAGGATGGCGGAGGCGGAGTAGGGCAGCGTGGGCAGCGAGCGCTGAGGAGGGAAGGGCGAGACGCGCTGTAGGGCCGAGCGACTTTTAGCCAGGATGCCTGCACCGTCGAGCCAGCCGAGTGCAGTCGCCTCATCACGCCAGCCGGCCTCCTCTCTTGCTCGGCGCCGCGCCCGGGGGGGAGGGGAATGCAGAGGAGGTGGGTCTTCGCAAAGGCTCGGAAGGCAGCCGGAGCCTTCTGACAAGCTCTGTGGCCCTTCCCCAGAGCCCCGCCGCCCTCCGAGAAGACTGGCCCCTGTTCGCTGCCCAGACCCCCGACGTCATGATTTGTTCATTGCGTCGACCCCCAGACGTCTCGACGCATTCCCCAGGACCCGCTTCTCATCCCGAGTTGTGTTTTGACGCCCCCGGAGGCTGAAAGTTAGGACAAACCTCCCGACAGGATTTTTCCATTGCCCGAGGGGGTCTGGGTTTTGCCTTCGGCGCGCTCCTCCTCTTCCTGCTCCTGCTCCTCCTCCTCCTGCTCCTCCTCCATCTCCATCTCCTCCTTCTCCTGCTCCTCCTCCTCCTCCTCCCCCTCCGCCTCCTTTCCTCCTCTCCTCCTCACGCTCATCATCCTCCTTCCTCCTCTTCTCCATCTCCTCCTCGTTATCCTCCTGCTCCCTCCTTCTCCTCCTTCCTCCTCCTCTCCTCCCCCTCCATCCTCCTCCTCATCTCCATCTCCTACCTCTCCGCCTCTCCTTGCTCTTTTTCTTCTCCTCCTTCCTCCCCCTCCTACTCCCTCTCCTATCCTTCATCTCCCCTGCCCCTCCTCCTCCTCTTTCCTCCTACCTCCTCCTACTCCTCCTCTCCTCCTCCTCCTCCTCCTCTCCTCCTCCTCCTCTCCCCCTCCCCTCCCCCTCTTCTCTCCTCCTCCGCCTCCCCTCCCCTCCTTCTCCCTCTCTCCTCCCTCCCTCCTCTCCTCATCCTCCTCCTCTCCTCCTCCTCCTTCCTCCCCTCCTCCCCTCATCCTCCTCCTCTCTCCTCCTCCTCCTCCTCCTCCTCCTCCTCGTCCTCCTCCCCCACCTCCTGCTCCTCCCTCTCCTCCTGACCCTCTCATGTTCACTGTCCTTCTCGTCGCCGTCTCGTCCGGAGGCTCCACCCGGCTCGCAGGGCGCCTGCCCGGCAGGCCGAGGACCCGCCGAAAGCCCGCGGAGAGCGGGGCCGAGGGCCCGCCGGGGGGCGGCGGAGCCTCGGGACCCTGCCGCGCCTCCCGCCAGCGCGCCTCCAGCCTCGCGCAGCGCGTGCCTCCTCCTGCTCCCGCTCCTGCTCCTGCTCGGGCTGCTACTCTCTCCTCCTACTCCTCCTCCTCCTCCCTCCTCCTCCTCCTCCTCCTCCTCCTCCTCCTCCTCTCCTCTCCTCCTCCTCCTCTCCTCCGCCTCTCCTCTCCTCCTCTCTCCTCCTCTCCTCTCCTCCTCCTCCTCCTCCTCCTGCTCTCCTGTCCTCCTGCTCCTCCTCCTCCTCCTCTCTCCTCCTCCTACCTCATCCTCTCCTCCTCCTCCTCCTCCCTCCTCCCTCCTCCCTCCTCAGTGCCTTCCTCCTTCCCTCTCCTCCTCCCTCCTCCTCCTCCCTTTTCCTCCTCCTCTTCCTTTCCTCCTCCTCCTTCCTCCCTCCACTCCTCCTTCTCTTCCTCCTCCTCTTCGTCCTCCGTTTCTCCCCACCCTCTCCCCCCCTTCGTCGACACTGCCACATCACGGTCCCCAGTAGGTTTCTGCACGAACCTCGCGCTTCAACAGAAACATTGGTGGACATTATCGATATCCTCTTCCACCACGTCGTTCTGTTCCACATCCTCCTCCTCCTCCCCCTTGTCTTCCCACTCTTGCATGTTCTCCCCTTCCGCCTCTTACTCTGGCTCCTGCTCCTCCTCCTGCTCCGCCTCCTGCTTGCTGCTGCTGTTCCTCCTCCTCCTCCTCCTCCTCCTCCTCCTGTTTGTGCTCCTGTCGGCAGTGGAGGCCGCCACGGGCGAAGCCTTCGTCTGCTTGGCCGGTTTGGTGTGCCTCCACCTTCCCCTCCTGACCTCCCTCAATCCCTCCACCTTCCCCTCCTGACCTCGCTCCTGACCTCCCTCCTGACCTCCCTCCTCTCCTCTCTCCCCTGATGACGTCCGGAAGATGTCCAGCCGCCGTCCGCGTACTGTTTTCTTGCATGCAGGATACCCGGGAGTTGGGCTTTCGCTTGGGCTGTTATTCAAAATGCTGTTCCCGCTGAACCGCTGGCCTCATTTTCGGGCTTCCGCTCGTTCCGGATTGTGTTCTCGCTGCAGCGCTGGCCTCATTTCTGCGCTTCCGCTCGTTCCGAATCGTGCTCCCGCTGCAGCGCTGGCTCCAGAATGGTGCTACCATTGTAACGTGGGTTTCATGTTAGGATCGGCGCCTAGCTCCAGATGGCATTTTCGCCCGGGCCCCGTTTCAAGATCAGATTTTTTCCTCATTGGTGTGTCCCCGCTCCCTTCCCCCCCATCCGTGTTTCCCTGGTCTTCCTGCCCCCCGCCCGCTCCCACCACCCCCGCTCCTGCTGTTCCTCCGTGTCCTCCTCCGCCCTCTTGTTCGTTCGCCGCCTGTCCTTCTCCAAAGGGGGAACGCAAACCGGCAACTTCCCCGAGACACTTCCGCGCGCCCATAGGCATGACCGATGTGCGCCACCCCCCCATTCCCCCTTCTTTCTTCCCCCTCCTCACCCCCCCTCCCGTCCCCCCCGCAGCCACTCCTCCCCCTTCTCCTCCTCCTCCTCCTCCTCCTCCCCCTCCTCCTCCTCCTCCTCCTCCTCCTCCTCCTCCTCCGCTCCTTCCTGACCCCCTCCTGCTCCTCTTCCTCCTCCTCCTCCCCTCCTCCTCCTCGTCCTCCTCCTCCTCCTCCTCCTCCACCTCCTCCTCTTCTTTTCTTCTTCATTATCCTCTTCCTTTTCCTCCTCCTCCTCTTCCTCCTCCTCCCACCTCCTCCTCCTCTTCCGCCTCCTCCTCCTCCTGTTGTTGACATTATTTGTATGTTTCCTCCTCCTCCTCCGTTTCCAACTCCTCCTCATCCGTTTCCTCCTTTTCCTCCTCCTCCTCCTGCTCTTCCTCCTCCTCCTTCTTCCCACCTACTTCTCCTCCGCCTCCTCCTCCTCTTCTTCTTAGTCTCATTCCTCCTCCTCCTCCTCCGGTTCCTCCTCCTCCTCCTCCTCCTCCTGCTCCTGCTCCTCCTGCTCCTCCTCCTCCATCCTCCCCCCTCCTCCTCCCTCCTCCCTCCTCCCTTCTCTCTCCTCCTTCCCCCCTCGTCCTCCTCCTGCTCATCCTGCCCTCCTCCTCCTCCTCCTCCTCCTCCTCTCCCTCCTCCCTTTCCTCCTCTCCTCCTTTTGCTCCTCTCCTCCCTTTCCTCCTCTCCCTCCCTTTCCTCCTCCTCCTCCCCTCCTCCTCCTAATCCTCCTAATCCTTCTAATCTCCTCCAGCTCCAGCCTCCAGCTCCAGCTCCAGCTCCACAGCCCCTCCTCCTCCTCCTCCTCCTCCTCCTCCTCCTCCAATCTTCTGTTCCTCCTACTCCCTCCTCCTCCTCCCCCATCTTCTCTCCTCCTTCTCCTCCTCCTCCTCCTCCTCCTCCTCCTCTTCCTCTCTTCCTTCTCTTCTTTGCTTTCCTTCCCTTTCTTCCTCCTCCTCCTCCTCCTCCTTTTCCTCCTCCCCTCCTCTCTCCTCCTCCTCCTCCTCGTCCTTCTTCTCCTTCTTCTCCTCCTCCACATCCTCCTCCTGATATTATTTCCCTTCCCCTTCAACGTCTTCCACCTCCACCTCCTCCTCCTCCTACTCCTCTCCTCCTCCTCCTCCTTCTCCTTCCCTCCCTCCTCCTCTGCCTCCTTCCCCTTCCGTTCCTCCTCCTCATCCTCCTCGTCCTCCTCCTCCTCCCTCCTCCTAGTCCTCCTCATCCTCCTCGACCTCCTCGTCCTCGTCCTCGTGCTCGTCTGTTCCTGTTCCTCTCTCCTCCTCCTCCTCCTCCTCCTCCTCCTCCTAATCCCCCCCCTCCTTCTCTTCCTCCTCCCTCCTCCCTCCTCCTCCTCCTCCTCCCTTCCTTGTCCTTCTCCTCCCTTTCCTCCTCCCCCTCCTCCTCTGCCTCCTTCCTTCTCCTCTTGCTCTTCCTCCTTCCCCCCACAGCCATTCCCCCCGCGTGCAAGGGCCAGGCCGCCGCACGCGCGGGGCCCCCACCCCCCCCTGGGTCTCGTCGGCAAACTTTGGAGCGGCAGTGCCCTCGGGTAGCCGCTAAACACAGACTGCGGCAGCAAGAAGGCTAGAGTGCAGCAGGTGCACAGAGGGCTACTCAACGGCGCGCGGGGATGGATAGGTGGAACAGTGCACTGCCCCGGCGAAAAGGGGGGGGGCAACAGAGGCTTCGCGTGGTGGCAATTCACCGCCCCACGGCCAGAACTTCGCTGGAAAATCAGTCCGGTTCTGTGCGCCATCTGCCACGGGCCTGCGGCCACTGAAGTGAGTGCGCCCCAGTGTGTGTTGCAGGGAGATGAGCATTGCAACGTCTATCTTTCTCTCGCTCTCTCTCTCTCTCTCTCGGGTGGGTCGGGGGGCATTGAGGTATTGCCACAGCGCTGGAGGCTCCCACTTGTCCGATACCGCATGCAGGGGCATGGCGCTGTTGACGGCCATCGTGCGTCCTGAGTTATTTGCTTGACCATAGGAGTGGTAAGTCCTCTCGTTTCCCAGGGTTGGTGCTAAGCCGACAAGAACCAGATAACTATGCGACAAGCGCCAGGAAAAGGTTCAGGGTGAACCGAGGAACCCCTGTTTCGGAAAGTGCGTCTGGCCCACGGTATCCCAAAGGCGTGTCAATGGCCAAAATGCCGCTGGGATGGACTATCCAAACGACATGTTTCAGCACCCTTAGAGCAACCTCGGCGGAGGATCGCCCCCGTGTAGGCCCGTGTTCAGGAAGAGGCCCCCATCGCAGACAACGGTCGCCCTCCCGCGGACGACGACCGCCCTCCGTGCCATCCTCCCTGAGAAAAGGCACCTCCTGGGACACAGCCTCGGTTCGTTGCAGTGAGGCGGCGTCCTCCTGCCACTGTCCCGTGTCAGAGCGTGCGCGCGCGCGAGTGGCGCCTTTTCGTGCCACTCTCCTGCCGACCTTTTTTGGACGCCCGAAATGGGTACGGAAAACATGGGTACACTGCCCACCAACAAATGGTGTCCCAAACCAGCAGCGGCCGCTGCTGGGCAGGCGGCCTTCTCTCTCAAGCGGACACAGCCGCTGCTGCGCGGACAGCGAGCCCTGTTCAGAATGAACAGGAACTGCTGTTTGGGCATTGTATCCATTCTTTCCGTACCCATTTCGTTCGTGCCCACCTTCCTGCGCGCTTGCAACTTATATCCATTGCCGTGACATTGCCCACTCCTCCCCCGCAGCCCCTCCTCCTCCTCCTCCTCCTCCTCCTCCTCCTCCTCCTCCTCCTCCTCCTCCTCCTCCTCTTCCTCCTCTGCCACTCTCCCGTGTCAGCGCGTGCGCGCGCGTGGCACTTTTTCGTGCCACTCTCCCGCCGACCTTCCTGCGCACTTGCAACTTCCATCCTTTGCCGTGGCATTGCCCATTTCGGTGGCACTGGCCCTGCAGTCTCCAGGAAGGAAGCCCCCCAGGAGGTGCGGTGCTTGGAGGCCCTCCCTGAACCCCCAGAGGCCTCCAGACGCCAACGGAAGGACAAACAATTTTACCAAAAACCTCGATCTCGATGCCTCGAGGCCTCCTCCTCCTCGATCGTCCTGTTGCTCCTCGGTATCGGTCCTCTTTCTCGGACTCCTCCTCCTCCTCGACCCTCGCTCCCGGATCTTGGGGGCGGCCGTCAGTGCCTGTGTTCCAGCGCGCCTTCCTCCCGCAGCGCCTCTTCCAACTCCTGCTGCAGCAGCGGCTGCGCGGTTGCCTACAGCCCCCCAGTGATCGCCATCGTCGACGTCATCGCGGTCGTCCCCGTCGCCCTCGTCGTCATCGTCGCTGCCCTCACTCAACGTTTGTCATTCGCAGTACGTCGTTCGCCGTCATCATTCGTCATCGTCATCGTCATCGACGTCGTCAACTCTCCAACTCCTCCTCCTCCTCCTCCTCCTCCTCCTTCTCCTCCTTCTCCTCTATTCCTCCTCCTCCTCCTCCTCCGCCTCCTCCCCCTCCCCCTCCCCCTCCTCCTCCTCCTCCTCCTCCTCCTCCTGCTCCTCCTCCTCCTCCTCCTCCTCCTCCTCCTCCTCCTCCTCCTGCGCACAACCTGAGGCGCCACGGAGTCTACGACACCGCAGCCGTCAGTTGGCGTGGCTGAGGGCGCACCTTACAACCGCCCTCCGCCACGCGCTTCAGACAGGGCCCGCATGGGCCACGCTCCTGGCGCGAGGCTACACCTCGGGCAGAGGGGACTGCGCACGGCCAGACCGCCAGCGCGCACGGAAGGGCAGTGCGGGACCAGCAGAAAGTGGGTCACAACACGAGCCCGTCGAAAGAAAGAAAAGAGAGGGGAGGGCGGGCCGAGGGCCACGGGGCGATCTCCCTTACTGGGAGGATCCCCTATGGCCAACGACCTGCCCCCCAGAGCGCGACCCCACGGTGGGGTCGGGCTGTTCCTGGCCATGAACATCGAGAGCATCGGGCAAAACGTTGGGAGGAGGACGAGGGCGGCCACTGGCAGCTGCCAGCAGCCGCTGAACAATGGCAGCACGCTCTGCCTCCGTGCGCTGCGTGCGCTGCTTGCGCACAGGCACGGCGGTGTCCGAAACATCTCCTCCGCCCCCGCTCAACGACGTCGACGGCGCGACACCACCTTCCTCCGCTAGAGCAACAGCACTGCCAGCAGACCGCTGGGGTGCCTCCGAGGTGGCCAAGCCTGCCTCCAGCTGGGGTGCTGCCGAGGCACTAGCCACCGTAGCAGGCTCAGAGAGACCTTCCCCTCCTCCACCGCTAGCCAACGACGACGCGCCAAGGCCTCCTTCCTCCGAGATGGCGCCAGCGCCCACACCAGACGGGTGGGGTGCCCCCGAAGGTTGGGCCGAGACATCAGTAGCAGCACTGTCGTCGCCAGCCTCCAGCTGGGCGGCGTGAAGAGAAACGGCCGCAGCGGCCTCTGCGAGCGGTGCCTGCGCTGCGACCCGACACACCTTGGCGCTGAGGCGAAACCCCCCCTTGCAGAGCCGCTTGGGCACCTTCAGGGCATGGTCTGTGGCCACAGGCGGGCACGGCTGGCTGAGAGCTGCAACGCGAGAAACCGCAAAGCTGCCACAACGCGCGCAGCCCACAACAGTGGGACCTTCACACAGTGCAATACGAACTAGGTCATGCTTGCGCGCTCCATCCCCTAGCTGCCTCTGCGCTGCCAGCACGCGAGATGCAATATCGGATGGGGCGGGATTGCGCGCAACGAAAAGCGGAGGGAGACGCGGCTTGCCACGATTGTGCCGCTTGGGGTGGCCATTCAAGCCCGTCGCTGAGTCGGCCAATCCAGTCTCCCCAGGTCTTGACAACCGTGGAGCGAGCCTGCAGCTGCGCACGGCCCTGCCGCGGTACTCGCGCAAAGGCAGCAGCGCTCTTTGCAGCGCGGTCTGCCATCATATTGCCAAACCTGTGGCGCGCCACGGCGCGCCCGTGCTGGATGTCACCTACGGCCGCATGACCTTTGACCTTCGAGAGCTCGAAACCGTCCCCCCAGTCATCCACCAAACGCCAGAACTCCCGCCAGAGGTGGGCATGCGCGGCAACACAGGCAGTAGTGGCCACGCGGCCACGCTCGTGGAAGCCATCCACGACAAAGGCCGAGTCCGAAAACATGCGCACTGGCGGCGCCGCAAAGCGCAGCACATGAATGGCTGCGATGAGTGCGGCAGCACTAGTGCACTGCAAGGGGCCGCGCACGGGGCCAGAACAAAAAGAAACAACCTGAAGGCAACCGGGGTGAATCCCCACGCACCCCCAGCCCGCGCTCGCGAGGCTGTGATACTCAGCTTCGAAAGCCGATCCATCAGGGTAGATATCTCCCGTGAAGCTGTCAGGCCTTTTTAAGCCCCCAACACACGGGTCGCCCAGGCGGCGGCCTGACGAGTGCAGGAAACGGGGCCAGACAGCGCTCAGCAAAGACGAGGGCTGGCGGCGACTGCGCCGCCCGCGCTGCATTGACACGAAACGCAGGAGCGCAGTCGAGGCTGTCGGGGCGCACGCAAGAGCAGTGCCTGTGCAGCAGCGTGCCTTCGGCGTGGGGGCAGAGGAGGCAAGTAGGCGTGGTGTCGTATCCTTCGGCCCACTGGCGCTTCTGGGGCCACTGTCCCCCAACCACGGTGCTGCGCAAGTGGCCGCTCTGCGGTGCCGTGAGCTTACTCTTGGTGCTGAGCAGGGCCTTCAGGGGGCTGAGTATGACACCGTTGCAAAACTCAGGGAGGTCCAAGTGGTCAGCAACCTCGGCGAACTGCCAACACTCGACGGCACGGTACACGCGCTCCTGGATCGTAACAGGGCAGAAGTCCATGGGATTGATGACGGCCCCATCGTGCCAAGTCCAGGAGGTAGCCGAGGTAGCCGTAATCCCGACACGTTTGAGGGTTGCCCACACAGCACTGAAAGGGCCCCTAATGGAAGACCAAGGGTGCTCAATAATCGAAAGCCGATCGTGGGCCTCACGGAAGCCGAAGCCCAGGGCGTCCCTAGGAAGCCAGGAGTGCCACAGAGCGTGGAGGAAGGCTTTCACAGGCAACCACTTAGCCATAAAAATAGGGTCCAAACGGTGCACAGGGGACAACAACAGGGCCAGGGTGCGAGATTTACCATCCATACGATGGTCTTGAAGTTTACCAGCAACACCTCTAAGAACCTCTAACTCCTGCCCGTTGGTGCCCACCACGGCGGACCCATACAACACGGAGGACTCCAGAGCACTTCGGGCCATGCGTCCAAGCGCACGGCGACGAGGTTTGGAGCCTCTGAGGATCGACATGCGCTGCCGCCTCCTGCCCATGGCCTTGACACGGGAGGCGGACGTAGCCTTGCCCCCTCCAGCGGGCCCAGAGGAAAAGTCAACACCAAGGTTTCTCTCAGCTCTAACGGGCAGGGGTTGGAGGCTACGGAGCTTCGAAGCGATCGAGGCTCTAACAGCAGGCGAGTTCCCAAGCACTCGGGACTTGTCGACAGCGATCCTAAGGTCGGCGGCCTGGAGCTCACTGTGGAGCTTCTTACCCGCACCAGCGATGTCTTGCACCACTCCCGACTCCGTGCCCCATCTCATGAGGCCAAAGTCGTCCACATTGACCGACAGCTGGACCGTCGGGAAGGAAGCCTGAACAGCGTCGAGAGGGCCTAGCAGCACCAATTGAAGCATACAAGTGGCAAATGTACAACCTGGCACTACGGTCTGCTCAACATCCAGCAGCGAACCAACCTCGCCAGCCACATCAAGCAGCCTGGGAGCCCGATGAATCTGAACCAGGAGGTACAATTGTCACAATGGAAAGCTGGTGGCCTGCGCAGCCGAGATGAGATGTCGGTGCTGAACCAGCTCGAACGCCTTCTTTAATTCCAAAAGCAACGTGGCACAACTACGATTTTTGAACGTCGAATGGTCGGACCAGGCAGCTTGAATCCACACACAACGCTCCGAAGACTTCCCATGGGTGCCCCAAAAGAAGGCACGATAATTTCTTTCCTGCCACTGCCTGATGAGAGGACGTCTCAGGCGACATTGAACACGAGCCAACACATGGAGCAGCCCAAGCGGTCTCAGACCCCCCACCCGTTTGAGAATGAACACAATGCGGTTCCACATGACAGGCCACTCACGCTTGTGCTCAATGTGCGAGATAATCTCACAAAAGGCTTCCAGCGCAGAGGGCGGCAGAAGCAAGAGGGACGGGGCGAGTCCTCCTCCTCCTCCTCCTCCTCCTCCTACTCCTCTCCCTCCTCCGCGCCCCCCTCATCCGCCTTCCTCATCAGGGCAAGCAAGACCTGCATCACAGACATTGTCGGGGGCCTGCGCGGATCCCTCGGATCGACGCCGAGGACCCCCCTCTAACCCCCCTCTAACCAGCCCCGAGGACAATCAAAGGGATAGGCACTCAGAAACTGCGGGAATCCTTAAGATCGGCATCGAGGTGAGGTGATGTCAAACATAGGGATTGGGATATGTTTCAAACTGGTAACCTTCCCTTGCGCGCGGAGCGCTGCAGGGGCGGAGCCGCAGGCGCCGCCAAAAGGGGAGAAGCCCAGCGACGATCCGAGCAGTCCGCGCGGATCTCCCAAAACTTACGTTTAGGTCGGGTCCTCCTACAGGCGGGGTTTGGAAGGAACGTGCCAAAAATCGAGCAATACCCAGAAATAGCCTAAACATGATCGAAAGATCGTCCAGAGTATTTCATGATTATTTCTGAGTGTTCCTCCTGTAGATGGACATGCACGACTTAAGCTTACGTTTTTGTGCAGTGTCGCTTCCTCGGCGCCTGCCCCCCCTTTCTACTTAAGAGGAGAAGCGCGGACCACCGCCACCGAGAACCCGTGTATAGGAAATGCAGCCTTGCCTTCCAGTGCAGCGTCTCCCGTTCGCAAACGAAAGCGGTCCACGGTTTGAGGGTGCAACATTGCTTCTGCTTGGTGTCACATCGCACGGCGAGTGTTCGGACCAAACAGGAACTGTCGGCACACATCGATTCGTCGTTGAATCACTCAGGGCACATCCTGACCACCAAGTCGGACGAGGAACGAACGGAACATCATGAGACATGTGTGGCGGATGTCGGCGACTCGATCCTAGCAGGCGACACTCGGAGGGAATGATCTTCGCATCGCAAACTATTGCGCGTAGGCGGAAGAAACCATCAGATGTACCAGGGACGCAAGCACCTTCCAAATCGAATCGATTCGCCGGGTCAAGCCATCACGTTGGCAAGCGATTTGGGAAAAGAGCGAATGAATAAGCACTCAAGTCTTGTAGCCGCGATGGTGACTACCCCAGCCGAGCACGTGAACACCTTCGACGGCCAGCACAATGAAGTGATGAAACATTTACTTGCTAAAATGGGCCTGGTAACGTCCATCTACAACATGGAGGCCGACTTCGCTTCGGGACCCACCGGTACCGCTGATGGACCCGATGGAGTGAAGGAGGAGCTACTACAGGCAGCACCGCATGAAGTGGCAAAGCTGGCTCATCGCTTCAAGGTGAAGGTTGCGCCAGTTGAACAAGAACCAGTGGCAATCAAGAGAGGCATATTGGCAGAAGTGTCGAAACCAAGAGGCAACCCAGCTACGGCAAAGGGGCACAATCGCGAACGTCTTCGCCAAGGATCATTACAATTTTCTTCAATCTCCGCTCGAGGAGGCGACGTCGATGCTGCTACGCGGTTCTCAAATCAGAAAAAAACAAGCGGCCACCAACGATGGCCTCATGCCATGTTCGCCTAATGATGGAGCTGGGTATCAATATCCCTATGAAAACACTATTTTCGTTATCGATATGAGGGCGGCGTTTCACGAACTTGCGCGACGGATGGCAAGCAAACTACATCATCTGAAACACGAACCTCACAAACTTCTTGCCCCATGCGATATTTCTCATTATTGGGACAGCTGGCCAACGAAATGCTTTCGAAACCGGATCTACTTCACACCTGTGTGTTGTGGGCCCCCACGTGGCACAGATGATGGGGCAATCTCAACGACGTTCACGGCTTCAGCTGAAGAACGTGTTCCCTCCAATCGTCGATGACTCAGCAATCTGTCAGACTGCAATCCGCCACAGCAATGCTGCCCCGCAGCATGCATCGGAGGAGCACTTGGCCAGCTACAACAGCGTCACGAGGAGGAGGCAGAGAGGACGAGGAAAAAAGGAGGGGGCGAGGACTGACGCGAGGCGAAGGAGACTGATACAGGCGGTGCGTGCGCGTCCCCACATGGCCCAACCGACCATGAATACAATAAGGCTTCGCACAACGACATGCGCACGGTGTAGCGGCATGGCACACTACCAAAACAAGTTGCAACCTAAGTAGCCACGCGGCTGATAGCACATATGCCCAGATTGCTACGGCACCGGAGAAAGACACAAGAAGGATAAGGCGGATAAACAAAACGGGAGGGGCCAGAACCAGAGAGAACAACAGAGAGAAGCGCAACAACAAACACCCACAACAACGATCATGACGCGCCCGACAGGCCCGCGAGCACGGATGGCATATAGCAGTGATAGAAATCTGGGTGCGAAGCGCACAACATAATCAAACTGTTTTAGGGCGGCCATGGAGAGGCCAAGCCCCGCCGAAAACGCTGCACGCCTGGGGCGGGCCCAAGAATCAGGGCGGCCCGCAGGGTCGGGCAGTGCCGGGCGAGGAAGCGGCCTCGGTCAATGTGCAAGTAGTACCACAGCACCAATTGGAAGAAAAAGAAAAAGAAGAAGAAGAAAACAGGGGATTTGATTAGACACGTCGCATCGCAGAGACTAGGACCAGCAACGACAAGGGAAAGTCTCCAGCGAAGCCGACCCCAAAGGGGAAGGGCGCCCCAGAGCCTAACCCATCCACGCCGTCAGTCGAATTCGAATTAACACCACAGTCCACTGCGCTGGTTGCATCAAGCGGCGCATCCCTCTCAAGCGGTTGGGATGCATGCCTCTACGGATTCTGCCAACCGACGAGAAAACGCCCCCAGAAACATCCGGAAACATGCGGGGCTGCTTTTGTCGCACCCCTGTGGTTCACCTGCCGACGCAGAAGGAGCAGTTTTCGAGATATGCCCGAAGGCGCCCCGATGCGCGCCCGCGACCGCCCTGGCGGCAGCCCCTCGAGCGGCGCGCGCGGCACGACGGAGGAGGGGGGGGCGCCAAGCCAGCCGCGATATTTCACCCGACAAGCGGGGGCGGCGCAGCGACGTGCCCGAAAGCGACGCTGTCGTCAAAACCGGCCAGGCCGAAGGAGGGCAGCGCCCGCGCGGCACGTGCGGGCCCGACTCGGGCGACTCGGGCCCCCTCAAGCCTCGGCGCCCTTGCCTCGGAGGCAGAACATGGCCAGCGGGTGGATGGAGTCCAGCGCGGAGCTCGAGCTCGGCGAGCGCGGTGCCGAGCTCCACTTCGAACTCCTCCGTCCGGCAGTTGTTCTTGTCGAGACATGCTGAAAGTTTGGTCTTCTGCTCCTTCAAGAAGTGGATGGCCTGGTCAAGGTCTGTCTTGGCGGCGGCCTTCTGCGTCATCATCTCTTCGCGGGTCAGCTCGAGATCTTCGATGGGCGCCTTGCCGATCAGCCGCGCATTCGCGAGGCTGTTGACATTGTCAAGATGTGTGATATTTGCGGCCATATGTGTCTTCAACTCGCCGTAGACCGAGTCCAGGTCTGTCTTGATGGCGGCCGCCTGTAACTTCAGGTCGCTTTGGGCCTGGTCGAGAACCTGCGCCAGGATGGAGCTGTTGATATTGTCAAAGACCTGCTCTGTGCGTGGCCATCTGCTCAGCCAGCTCGCGGTGGAACGAGCCGGTCGTCTGCGACTTCAGGTCGGCGCGGACCTGATCGAGAAGCAGTTCGATTATGGGGCGGTTGGCAGTGTCAAGGTCGGCCTTCTGCTCCGCCAGCTCGCGGTGTGCCTGGTCGAGGTCATTCTGGGCGGCGGCCGCGGACATCTTCGCCTCGTCATGGATCTGCATGGGGCCGCGCTTGTGCACCGCGTCGTTGACCTGCCCGCGGTAGCCCGCGAGATTATCGAGCTGGGGCGCTCGCGGCGTGAGCTCCTCTGGCGGCGGCTCCATGTTGGGACCGATGGGCAGTGGCTCGCCCTCGTCTATCTTGCAGATGCTCTGGGGCGGTCTCGCAATCCCCGATTACGAAGCCCCGGGCCTTATCCGCGCCCATCCTGGCCTCGGGCGGCACCGCGAGCACGAAGACCTTCGCGCCCCCAACGTTCCTGGCGGGGCCGTCGAGGACTACCAACTCCACGTTGACGCCGCTGCTCTCACCGTTCAGCCCTTCCAAGCAGCCGGCCATCACCTTGCCGATGTCATCGCAGGGGAGACGCCAGTGCAGCGGCATCTGGGCCTTCATCTTCAGGCAGGAAGTTTCGCCAAACCCAGCAGGGCCACCTCGCCTTCAGCGCGAGGGCGCGCTGCTCGAGCGGCAGGCTAGCGCAGCAGCGCGGCGGCGCTTCGCCTTCGGCGCGAGGGCGAGGGGCGGCGCGAGAGGCCCTGCGCCCGAGCCCCCCGCGGCTTGATAGAGGAGAGCAGGGTGGGGAGGAGAGAGCAACAAGGGATCGGGGGCAACTGTATGCTCGCGCCGAGCGTCCCGGCCTCCAGCCGCCAGGTGCCCTGGAACCCTTCGTCTGGCCTGCCCGGGCCAACAGAGCGAAGCCCGCCTCAGAACTGCAGCCCGAGCCCGCGCTGCTCCAGGTCGCGCAGCTGGCGCCCGTCGAGCCGCCCAAAGTCGTTCGGCAAGTAAGCATAACCCGTTGTGCATCGGCGCTGGTGTAGGCGATGGCGTAGGTGCCAGCGCAGGCGCCAGCGTGCGTGCTGGCGTCGGTGCCGGTGCCGGCGCTGGCATTGATGCCGACGCAGTCACAGGCGTTCATGCTGGAGTCGGTGCTGGCGTTGGTGCTGCTGGAAGCGTCGACGTCGGTGCCGGCGTCGGCGATGACGTTGGTGCTGCATTGGCGCTGGCGTCGGTGCTGGCGCGCGCGCTGGCGTTCGAGCGGACGTCGGCGCTGGCGTCGGCGATGGCGTAGGCGCTGGAGCTGGCGCCGTCGCAGGCGTTCATGCTGGCGTCGTTGCTGGTCTAGGCGTCGGCGTTGGTGCTGGAGTGCGGCCGACGAGGAATGCAAAGTGGTCCCTGACGTCACTGTCGCGGGCGATGTGGCGATCCCCGTCATGGGCAGCAACGTCGACATCAATGGAACTATGGAGATGGCAGCGGACGCGTTGCACGAAGCATTTCTCACACCTCATAGACACGAGTTGCGACAAAGGAAGAATGGCAGCGTTGGTGGATATTCGTGGAGAGGACACCGCGTCAAACATCTATGCAAGCACATGGGCGCCATGAGATCGAACGACGCAAGCTGGAAGCCTGAAACGCTGCGCCGGGCGCGACAAGATGCGCGGGAAACTGCGCCCTTAAAGCGCTCGACTAGTAAGAAAAATCGTGTGCCGGTCAAGGCCCAGACGAAATGTGTCGATGCATTGGCTCGCTCGCGCTCGCTGCGGTAGCGGGAACTGCGGCGCCGCGTTGGACGCGGGAACTTTGAGGAGGGGGGCAGGAAGCATACGTGAGGGGATCACGCGCAGAAGCAGGCATGGCACCTCATAGACGCTGCTCCGTTCTTTGCACCGATGATGGTGTTTGGTGCGACACGACGCGCAGGACTTCATGATCTACGGCGCGTTCGTCGGCTGCGGTCCCTGGAGGCCGCGCTCACTTATGCGTCGGCAGCGCTGGCGGTTCCTATTGATATTGAGGTGGGCACGGCATCTTGGACATCGCGACTCGGAGAAGACTTTCTGGCTCAATAAACTCACGCGGGAACGCCTACCGAGCTTTGATGCCGTGAAGGGGTGGGTTGGAAACGCATGATTGCCAGCGATCATACACCGACATCAGCGCGCAGAGGCCCGGGCAAAAGTTGCGGCTGCATTTCGGAATGAGCGACCGCATGCCCCAGAGGCACGGTGGCGATACATGCGCTGCAAATGTGTGATGCCATGTCGCACAGCGCGCGCAGGGCGCGGTCGTCGGGGCAGTGTGCATCTACCGGCATCACCTGCATACCATTGTGCTGATAATCACTACTGCAGTGCGTGCGACAACGATTTCAACGCACGCAACCTGCTTTTGTGTCAGTCGCGGTACTGTTAGCAACAGTGCTTGAAAGCGCCTCGACAGACGTTTCCCCTTCTTCCGGGCGAGCGCCTGCAAAAGCCCAAGATATCGATGGGACATAAACGGGGGCGCGGCAGTGTTGCGAGGTCGAGGATATGGCGGGCCTGAAATATTGAAACCTCGACTGCGTAGACCTGATTGGAAACGAGGAAGACGCGGTCATGCGGACGCGGCAAAGTTGCACGTTGACAACGAGACACTTGCGCCCTTCCAATCTGACTCGACTCGCGGGCAACATCGACATGCCCTTTCTGTGTATGACAAAGGAAATGAGAGAGACCTCGCAGGCTTACTGTCGGAGCGCCTGGGCCAGGAGCCGTCGGCGCCTGGTTTGTCTCTTCCGATCCAGCCCTTCGACAACGTTGCAGAATCTTGCGCGCGGGGAGGGCCTGGCCGTGAGCTCGCGCAGCGTGCGCTGCGAGGTGATTGCTCAGGGTTTCAAATCGAACTGCGCAGCCCATGTCATTCGATACAATCCAACGGCGGGGGTCGAAGCGAGACGGCGCCCGCTGCGGGGTGCACAGACAGATCGCGCCACGCCATTGATTTCGGAAATTTGACGGCAGCCCAGAATACGAACGTAGAGACCTCCACCGCAGGAGGTAAATGGCCTGCACGCGAGACGCAGGCAGTTCACGTGGAGGCACTGTCGGACGAGCGGGCCGGGCGGGCCATCGCAAGAGCTGGGGCTCCGCCGCAATCAGGGGGCGAGCCGTCCGCGGCTCTTGCCCGGGACAGGTGTCTATGATTTCCTTGATGTCCTGCTTGGTGATATTGCGGACGGCGTTGAATCGCGGCGCAGCGTGGCCGAGCGGGATGGCCAGGCGCACGACGACATCGCGCGGCAACCCAGTAGTGAACCGAAGCGGATCCTAGTTGTGCGGCTCCTCAACGGATGTGGGCGCCCCCTCGTGGACCGTGGCCGCGCCTGTCTGTGTTGGGGGCCCCGCAACTTTCTTTGCTGGCGGCGGCTCGTGGGGGGGGCCTCGTCTGGCGGCGGGGCCCCCGCGTTGCTGGCTGGGAAGCTCCAGCCGCGACGCGGCAGGATGGGTTTCGGCGGTGCCTTGGCAGGGGCCATCTGTCAGCGCGTGTGGTCTGGCTTGGTCGCACCCCTCCCATGTTTCGGTCCCTGCCGTCGGTGATCAAAGACGGTTCGCCCGCTTCGTGCGGTGGCTTCGCCTTCCTTGGCATTGGTGACGGTTCGGCTGGGACCTCTGCATCTTGGCGAAGCGCGTGAGTCGGTGGTGGGGCTGTCCAACGCCCTCCACCGGTGGTGGTTGAATCGGCTGGTGGGTCTTTGCCATGTGGGGCGTCGGGCGGTTTGATGTTACGATTGTCTTTCTGCGATGAGGTCGACGACATCGTGGATGCCTTGCTGGATCACGTCGTGGTCGGCTTGATGGGATTATGCGGGATCGGGGCGGTTGGGGCCTGGTCGGGCGGGCTCGTGCGCGGGTCGGTCTTGGGGCCTCTCGTGGATTCGCGGTCTGGATTTTGGAGATCAGCCTGGCGCTGCCTTCTGACCCTAGTTTCTGGAAGCTTATATCGGTGATGATGTTCTTGACCGCGTCGACGTTGTGCTTGTCGTGCCCATCCTGCTGTTGCATCTTGCCGCGTGCTCGTCAATCGCTGAGATGTCCACGTGGGCCGACCCCGCTGGTGGTGACGGCGTCCTTGGCTTCAGGAACTGCGGTGGTTGCCGCTGTCCTCGTTGGGCCAGTGGGGCGCGTCTCACTTATCGCAATACAACTCCCGGTTGTTGGCCGCGGCGCCCCTCTTCCACACGTTGTCCGTCTCTTACACAAACTAACCACGCGTGAGTGCAAGGATGCTGGCGGTAAAGATGGAAGGGGAATCCGCTGTTTCATGCCAGCTCGTAGTCAGTCCATTTCCGATGGTCTGGTGGAATTGCTAGAGGCGGCGGGCAATTCAGCGGTGGCTGTTCGGCTGCGTGGTGGTGCAGCGGTACTGGGTTGACGATCGCGCGTCTTTTCTGGGTTGTCGTTTGAACGGGATCGAGTCCTGGTGGGCGTGATCTTCCGCGTCTTGCAAGCTCGGTCCCCGCCAGAGCAAATGATATCATGCCAGTCGTCCTCGTACGTGGTACAAAGCCCATCAAGCCCAGTAGTGCCCCGTAGTCGTTGCTGAAGGCGTTGAAATGCTCTTTGCGTGCGTCGGCGAAGCTATTGTGCCCGGCCTCGCGGAACTCGGCCTCAATGGGAAATATCAGGTCGTGGATGTCCTGTGTCTGTACCTTCATGCGTCTGGGGACCATGATCTCGTCGGGCTCGATCCAATATGTTGTTTGGCGCGGCTGTGGGCGCCTTACCGTCGTAGCTTCGGTCGGTCGGGTTGCGTGGGGTGCGGTCGTCACCGTCGTGGCACCGTCTTCGACCTCCACGTCTGCTGGCGCGTGCCATTCCAGGTTGCCGATCTGTGCGCGCGGCGGAATTCCGTTCGAGGGTGGTCCCAATTGGGCTTCGGGTCTAATTTCGACTTCGTCGAAGATGTCGACAAGTTGATAAGGACGCGGCACTCCGCCTGGTAGCTCTGCAGGTTGTGCAGCTCGCCGTCCACCTCCACTTGCGGGACGAGGTCCCCATTGGGATCGTCTGTGGGGTCATGTGGAGGTTGCGGAGCTCGAAAACCAAGTTGTTGCAGTGTGTTTCCCTTACAAGCAGGGACGGCGCCCAAAGAAACAACCGGTCCTAAATAACATGTCCGCGGCGCGAACTCAAGGAACAAACCGTTCATGAATAAGACTTCCTCGTCGCGCCAGCACGCAACGAACATGTCACGAAACGCCGCTCGTGAGTGCGAGCGAAGGCTGACGAGAAGGACGAGGAGGAGGAGGGGAGGAGGGAAAAAAGAGGCACGGGCGCTGTGCGGGTAACCCCGCTTACCCAAAAGGCCACCATATTATCTAGAAGCGCGCAGCGGCATGCGAGGACAAATTGGCAAAACGAACGCCCACACGTCAAATGTGGAACTCGCGAGGCGGAGGCCGCCAGCGAGCCACTGCTTCGTCAACGGTGTACGATCGACGGTGAAAACAGATATGTAAGGATGCTGCGCGGAAGGCCTAAGGCAGAACTCGCAACTACATTCGAGCCGAAACTCGAGAAGAACGCCCAACATATTGTCGCTGTGTGGGTGCATGGCCCTTGCTACCTTCGTGGTCAAGGTGTCCGTGAGGCGCAGTAGCACCGGCGACGCCTCGCTAGAAACCATCACGGTGCCGTACTCGTTAGTGGCGCGGGAGATGTAGTCTGCAACGTCCCCGTCCCCCTCTTCCCCCTCCCACTCCTCCTCCTCCTTCTCCTCTTCCTCCTCTTCCTCCTCTTCCTCTTCCTACCCTCCGCCCTCGTGCAGCCCACCCGCGAGGGCAGGGCAGGACGCTTGAGAAGTCCCGCTGCAAGCCACTCACGGGAGCTGAAACGCCAGACTGACCAACCAAAACTTGCGCCTGGACGCAAGAGCAGCGTCAGACAGGAGTCCTGGCAAACTCGAGCCTCACGATTCCCCGAGCCAATATCCTGAACCCCCGCAGCCCCCACCACTGATGGGCAACGACAGGGGGGTGGGACTGGCTGAGGTGGGTGAGCATCGAGCTCGAGTCGGTGATACGTAGCCGATAGATCGGAGATCGGCTCCCGAAGGCGAATGCGCGCCTTCCTGGGCCGAGTGGGGCTGTGGGGCCGCTGTCGGCCATGACTTGGCGATCGGGAGTCCCCCAACGGGAACCATTCCCGCCCAACGTTTAAAGGAACAGCAACAAAACCATAGGTATAAACTTGTCCAGGTCCGCGCGGGGTTCTGGGATCGGCGTTGGACCTCCATCTCCGATCCGAGAGCTCTTCGCGGACCTCCAACCGTTTATGTTCGCTGGAAGCACGCACGCGCTTCGCGCGCTTGGGTTCAAAGACAGACCGGGGCAACATACCAACAGCCGGCATGGATCGAGTCCCGTATTGATCCCGCATTTCCCCCCCTTCCCCCATCCTCCCTTCTCTCCCTCTCGTTCTTTTTGTTTCTTTCGTCTCTCTCTCTCTCTCTCTCTCACTCCTCCAACGAGTGTGTGTTATCCCGTTGCCCTCTCCCTCCTTTGTAGCATATCGCCCTTCCCATCCTCACCTTTCTACACCTCCTTCTCTTCATCTTCGGCCGCTGCTCCTCCACACTCTCGTTCTCCCCCCCTCTTGTCGTCGTCGTCCTCCTGCTGCCTTCTTCCTCCGTGCCTGCCGCCCCAAGCGATGGGGGCCCTGGGACACACACACACGCAAACAGATAGGCACGAGTCCCAGGATTCCTCTATATTGTTCCATATGTTCTGGGCCTTCGTCCCCCCCCAAACTTTCCATGTTTTCCCATGTTTTTCTGGGGGTCGACGATTCATTTTGTCCGTGTGTTTTTTCCCCTCCTGACCAAGCCCTCTCCTGATCCTCATTTTCGGTTCCCCGAGGATTCGCGGCTTAGGGGCGGTGGCGGCAGGGGGGCGACGACTGGGAAGACGAGCAGCAGAGATCGGGAGGACAGCAAGGCACGCGAGGAGATCCGCGCACAGTGTGGGGGGTGCGGGCAAACAAAACATTGCAGGAGAGAAACGTGATGTGTTACACCGAAGATCCTCGAGAGAGTAGCCCTGTGGGAGACACTACTTCTCCGTTCTTCCGAAAACTGATGACTGCGCGTCGCTGCTGGTCGCGCCCTTGGGAATCGTGCCAACCAACATTTGGGTCGATACGTTACCACAACGAAACCATACCGATTTGTTTGTGATCCCTGGCTCCATGTCATTATACTATGCTTTGCCTTGTCTTTTCTCTCCTCCTGGATGCCTAGATACTACACGCTGGGCCAGCTTTGCCATAGGAGAGACGTACATGTACAGATCGGGCTGTTCGTGCAGTCCACGACTACGCGCATTGACTCTCCTATGGAAACGGGCGCAGCGCGCTGCTCCAACGTATCATTTGCTTGATTGGTCATTTTCACACTTCCTTCCGCTTCTCCTCCACCTCCTTCTCCTCCTCATGCTCTGTCGAGGGATGGGAGGTGGATTGAAGGAAGGAGCGGGTGGGGTGGGATAGTCACAGAATTACGTGATGACCGTGCGCAGGCATCTCTGCCACGCGGCCACGATTGTTGCATCCGCTACGCGGTCGGGATTAAGAATCGTCGCGCATTGGTGGCGCATCTTAGTTAGAGGGAGATTACCACAAGCTGGGACATGACTCGGGAGCTCTGGGACCTGCAGGTTGAACATATCACATCATCGGATGCCTGCGTCTTTCCCGCGTCCCCCCACCGGCGCACCTCCGCACGGAGGCGCGAGATGGCCTCCGTCGTCTCCACGAGCTCACGGGCAACGCCATGAGCCTTGAAGGGGTGGACGGGGTGCGACGAGAGGCCATGGGAGGACGATGACCAGGAGGAGGGAGAGGAGATAAGAAGCGGGACAAGCTATACGATGGAGGAGGGCTTGAAGAACAGGGATGGGATGGGGAAGAAGGACTGGATTAAGGAAGGAAGGGAGGACGATGAGCGTGAGGAGGACATGCAGGATGGCGGAGGAGAGTGTAAAAGAGGAAGGAGTGCTGGGGCTGAGGAGGATAGCGGATAGCGGATGATGGCGGATGGGGGGGGGAGCCTCGACGGCTCAGATGATATGTTGCACGCTCAGGGCGTGCTGAGTCGCAAGTCCCAGCCCGACCGTGCCCACCGACACAGCTCCCGCGCGCGCGGCCCATGCGACGCGGCGCCCAGGACGCCGTACCCGAGATGCTTCCGCAGTGGTCGCAGAGGTCATCCGACGATATCGATTGCACGGCAACGAATCGAGACTCGGCAAAACCACCATCCCTGGAATGCTCGTTTCTGCCCTTATCGATCAAGAGAGAGCCTTCGACCTGATCGACCGTAAGGAGACCTGGGAGGCCCTCTAACGCTTGGCCACAAAGAGGCATGCGAGGTTGACAGCCGAGGAGCTCCACGAGGGTACGTTCTGCATCGCCCGCGACATCCGCGCGAACCGCCCAGTCGAGGAGCTGCTGGTGCCTGCGGGGATCCGCCAGGGCAGCGTCGAGGGTCCGCTCCCGTTCGTCGCAGTCTACGACCTGCCGACCTCGAGGCTGGAGCAGAGCCACGCCCAGTCCGAGCTCCTTGAAGTCTTTGTGGCGGTTGGCCCGCCGCTGGAAAAGATTCGCCCCCCCCCCCCTTCAAAGGAGATGATGATGAGCAGGAAAGGTTGGTCGCGTCCCCAGAACGTTTCACGATGGTTGACGACTTCGATACTACTTCTCGTTTCCTCCTAGCGTTCCTGAATACCGAAAATGCGAAAAGTCAAATTCAGGTGAACGACTCGACAAGGGACATACTTACCATTGCGACTGGTACTCGAAGCAAGTGCCGAAAAAACACGATCCAAAACGACACATATCAACATGAACGACACCCCTGTCCACACCATTTCGAGTGGTAAGTACTGAGGGGCTCAACAACGTGACGATGGAACTATGGTGGAGGAGGCGACTCATAGGATCCAAGGAGGAAATGCAGCTCACGCTCGTCTTGTCCGTCGCGCCTTCAAGGGTCAACTCAGCGTTAGTTAGATTGGCGGCCGTGTATGGGCTGGAAATAGCCGCACTCAACAAGCCCGACATGGCTCGACTGGATAATTGGAAGATCCGCAAGCTGAGGGACTTGGCACGATCCGCTGCTCACAGCCATTATGTTAGCAACGCAGCAGTTCGGCAAATTGCAAGCGTTCCCACGGTAGCATCGACCCTCTTGAAGAGACTCGGCGGCGAGCGAGGGGGGAAGTGAGAAGGAGAAGGCCTTCCCAAAGGTTCGGAAGTCCCCCGGCCTTCTGAGAAGTTTTCTAAGCCTTCCCCGAAGATAATAAACTTCTCAAAGGCGCGAGGGCTCGTGCGAGGGCTTCTGCGAAGTCCCGCCGCCTTCTGAGAAGGCCTTCTCCTTCTCATTTCCCCCCCTCGCTCGCCGCCGAGAGACGGCCGGCGCGGTGGCAGGGAGTTTTCCGCCAGGCGTTCCCTGGCCTGCAGGAGACCACGGAGGCGCAGGATCCCCTTGAGGATCAGGGCTTTCGGAGGACCCTCTATCGAGGCGCCCGAGACCCTTGAAGACCAGGACGTGGAGGACCCCAAGGACCAGAAGTACGATCCCAGCAAGCTCGTTCGGGCGGTGGTTTGCGGTCGTTTCAACTTCGACCCCAGCAAACTCGTTAGCGCGGTGGTTTTCGGTCGTTTCAACTTCGAGGGCCCAACGCATGCGGAAGTCAACTCGCTTCTGGGAGTTCTTCGGGATGATCTTCAGAGACTTTGGATAGTTACGGCCCCTGAGGGCCAACAAGACACCCGCCCCCTATATCAGCTTCATGCGGAGGCCCTTACACCGACTAGGCCGTGGCTCCCATCGCTAAGCATGGCCCCTCCGAGCTCACATCAGGTGGGTGCGAAGTTGGGCTACCGAGGACGAAGCGAAGATAGACGCGGGAGTCGCCCCTCCACCTGACCAGCTGTTGCCGCGTCCGCCGTGCGCTCGGCTGTGCCTGGGCTCTACGGGCCTTGACAACCACGCGTTCTCCGTCCACCAGAAGTATGCGAATCCCACGGACCTCACCGATGACCAGCTGAGATCCCTGCAATGCCCCCGATGCGAGAGGTGCTTCAGCAGGCGAAGACACTCTCGTGCGTCATACCCGACTGGGACGGCGCCGTGCTGCCCCGCTGTCACTGGCCCACGACTCTCCGAGTGCAGCACCCGAACCTCCTGGGCCCCAACATCCGCCAGGGCCCCTCCCACGGGCCTCATCCAGCCAGGTTCGCGCCGATCTCCGAGGCCAGAGGCACGACGCGCCCCGCGGAGGAGATGGGCGCGGTGCAGAGCTCCGGGAAGGACGAGGGCCACCCCAGCGGGCGTCTCCAGAGCCTCACGTGGCGCCTCCTGCTCCAGAACGAGTCCGCACGCCAGGCCGCCGCTGGACACGACGACTTCGCGACGACGGTGCGGGTCGAATCCAGCCAAGATGGAGATGGCGTTCGAGGAGGGCTGCCAGAACTGCGCGCAGCAGGGCAAGGCTTGGGCGCCCGAGTTATCCGGGGTAACTCGGGTTGAGACTCCCGAAAAAGGAACCCGAGTTATCCCTGACCCGAGTTACCCCTGATGATTCGGGGCTCTGGACGCCCGAGTTATCCGGGGTAACTCGGGTCCGGGGTAACTCGGGTTCGGATTCCCGAAAAACGAACCCGAGTTATCCCTGACCCGAGTTACCCCTGATGATTCGGGGCTCTGAAAGGCCGCCCGCGAGAGCGACAACTTCCAGGGCCACTCGGGGATCTTCTGACCCGGGTCAATCCAGACCCGGGTCAGCAAGAAACCCAAAACTGCAATGCAAGACAAACAAAAACTGCAACGCAGGTCTTCGCAAACCCGGGTCAGCCAATAGGCGCGGCCGCCCTGCAGGATCCGGCGCCGTGGCTGACACCCGTTTGCACTGACCCCCGTCTCAAGGCTCCCGAGCCACCCGCTCGGCAACAAGCCCGGCGCGCTGGCGAGGATGGTCGCGTTCCGCATCTCGGGGGCCACCGTCCACCACAGGGCGGGCGCCGAGGCCGCGATCCAGCAGGGGCCCCACCTGCCAGAGGCCGCCGAGGGCGCCGCGGGCGCTGGAGCGGTGGGGGGGGCCACGACCCTGGGCCGCGGGGCGACCGCCCGCGCGACCCGCTGCCCCGAGGTGCGCCTCGACGGGGACTCGCCGGACCTGGGCCGCCCGCCCCCACCCCGACCCGAAGACGGCTCTGACGGTGATGCGTCTCGGTGGAGGCCTGGAGTCGGCGAGCGTGCTGCTGGGCCTCGACCGCGGCCCCCCGCTCCAAAGTCGCGAAGCAGATCGAGGAGCTGGCCCTCAAGGGGGCACCCGACCAGAAGAGCGCAGGCAGGAGAACCACGCGCAGGTGAGTACGATGACGAGCGTGACATCTTTTCTGACACGGACCTCCGCGACTCCCTTCTCGCAAAATCCTGGCGGTGCCAGGTTCAATGTCGCCACAGTGTTGCCGAAACGCTCCCGCCCAACATCGTGTCAGCCTCAACCTACCCTCGATGGTCCCGTCATAATTTACTCTCTGGTACCCCCTTGCTCCTCGCGCTGGTCTTGCTCTCCTTCCTGATAGTCTTATCCCGCTGGTGTGCGGTTGGATGGTATGGAGCTCGGGCCGTACCTCATTGCCGTGTTCGGGCTCGTGGGCTGGAACCTGTTCGTGAATGAGGGCGTGGACGGCCCTTCAGGCCCCCTGCGCTGACGCCGCTTTTGCCGCCGCCTGCGCCTGCCTTGTCCTCGTCTCGGTCCTGCATCGTCGAGCTTCTGGTTCGGGGGGAGCGGCCGCCCCTGCCCCCGTAAGGGGGTCGTGGGTGCCGCCCCCGATGGTGCCGCCTCTGCGGAGGCGAGGGCGCGCGGGTGCGGGGTGGCGGCCATCCCGTCTCCTCTGCCGCGCGGCCCCCGTCGGGGCCGACCGTCTAACATTCGGGACTTTGGATGCGCCGAGTTCCGTAGGCTTCGGTTGGGCGCCCACCACGAAGCGTCCCGTCAGAAGGCTGCTGGGCGCAGCGCCCTGAACCAAAAGGACGGGGGGGGGTCGGCGAAGGAGGGCACAGGGGGCGGAGGGAGGATGAGAAGAAGAAGGCCAGGAGGAACATAACGGTAAGAGGAGAGGGAAGAATAGAGGAGGAGCGAAGTACCGAATCCGGGAGACGAGAGGTGGCGGCGTGAAAAGGAGCGCTCCGCGAGGCGATCAGCGTGGAAAGGAGCGCTCCGCGAGGCGATCAAAGGAGAGAGGGAGGGGAACCGGATGGGCTCCAGAAGCTCACCACAGGAGGAGCACACCAGAAGAGACCTGGCCACAAGACACGCACGGGCATGCTCTCCTTCGACCCTTCAACGTCCCACGGGGCCCCAGGACTCCTGTGGCTCTGGGGGGCCATCGCGGGGTTAGAGGTTTCCGCGGGCACCTGAGCGACGCAAAGAAGCGGCTCTTGCGCGGGATGGCATAGCAACCTCATGCGGTGGCTTGCGCCGGCCGCCAGCGCGGCACGCCGGAGTAGAAACGAGGGCGCCTGCGCGCGACCCGGCGCGGGCAGCTTGCGCGCCTCTGCTCTCACCTGCCCGCAGGCTGGTCTCATTGCTTGACGCGCCGCCTGCGTGACCACAACGGTCTCGGGGGGTTACGGCAGCTTCGTGTCGCGGCGACCCTGGCCCTGGTTCCAGACGCCGTGGGGACAGTGCAACCCTGAGAGCGGTCGGCCGTTCCCGAAACGCCACATCGCTCCGCAGCGACCGAGTCTCGTTCGCCGGCGGCGCTCAACCCTTGAACGCCAGCGGCGGCGTCGCCGCGAAGGTCGCGGCGGCGGCTTCGAACGGCTGGACATCAACCTCGAGAGGATGGAGGGGGCGATCGAGCAGGCGGGCGTCGCCGCTGGTCGACACGACGCGAACCTGCCGTACTTGACGCGCCGCCTGCGTGGCCACAGCGGTCCTCGGGGGTTCCACGAACTCTTGCTCTAGGCTGGTACCACAACGAACCTGGGGGTGCAAGGTTAGGGTCGAGCATGCTCCCCTACAGTCGGATTTTGGGCGAACAACGCCAACTACTCAAAACATACCCCTAAATATTCAGAAATTGTAAATCAAAAACCGCCCCCAGACTTTTTTTGCGATTTTTGGACATTCCTCCTGTAGAGGGACAGGCCCGACTGAATGCAAAGTCTCCTGATCTGCGGGATGCCAGGCGCGCTGGGTGCCCCGCGAGAGAGCGCATGCAGCCACCTGTCCTGAAGGCCAACAAAACTCTGTGAGTACAAGCGCCGCTCGGGCAAGGCAGTCTGCTCGACGCCCTCCGCCAGACCTCCGACCCCGTGCGCGGTCCGATGCGCGGGGCCTCTCGGCCCCGACGCTCGCATTGGATCAGCGACGCGCAACCCGCAGCGCGTTGGCACAGAACTCAGCATGTGAGCTGAAAGTGTAGGTCTGCCGTGGACCGTTGAGCCAACGCGCAACGTGCTAAGACGGACGTTTTGGACACGGTATGCGCTGCACTTCAAAACGGTCGCATCAAGGCAGCCAAGGATCGGAATGTGCACCGAACCCGCCCGCAGCGGCACGGAGTCGAGGTCGAGTCGATCGGCTGTGCCGGGATGCGCAACAGCGCCGGTCGAGCATCGGGCCGAATCGGCTGGCGTGAAGCGAGCGGGCCCCGAGGGAGACGGGTCCAAGACCAGCTGCATCGTTCTACCAGTCCCTGGGCCCGTGGCAAGCCCCCGCAAACTACAACAATTGCGAGATCCTCTGGGCCCGTGTCCCTCGAGACCTCTTGCTTCATGACGAATCGGATCGTCGGAATACTAGAGAGAGCGTGATCCACCGCCGCTTTACTGTGGAAAATTGCCAACCTTTTCCTCCGGAACCCGGGGGTCGCCTCCCCCCCCCCCTCCGAAAATCCCCCCCCCTGCTGGAACCCCTCCCCCCCCCCCCCCCTGTGAATCTCAGATAGATTTCTAGGGTTCTGTGTGGCTGGAGCTCCCGACCCTGTGTCCGTCCCGTTCGGGTCCTCGGAGCTCTTGAACCCATGTGCAACCACCCGCACGTGCTCTGTTTTCCTATCCGTAGCCGTCCGGCTTATAGCCGGGCCAAGAGGCCCCTTTTGGCGATTTTGACATATCGGTCCGAAGCTCAGGGGGACCACGCTAGATAGAAAACGAGTTTCTCTCATCATCAACGTTGTGCTCTCACTTTGGGCAGTATATCCAAGCTCTACGAGCCCACCGTTTCTGCTGTATTTCAAGCTCTGCGAGCTCAACATCTCCGCCTACCTACACAACCCTGAGGATCATATCCCAGTGCTTGTGAGGGTTTCTCGAAGTGTAAGGCTGAAGATCCGTGGAAGACACGCTCCACTGACATTGGTAGCGAGACGAAGTGGCAGCCCACTTCGAGGTCGATCTCCAAATCAAGATGGCGAACGATCAGCAGTCCGGAATCAAGATTCCTGTGTGGAATGGTGAGGCCTCAACTTTAGAGAGTTTCGAGGAAAAGGTTAAGTTGTGGGTCCTGGGCACAAAGAAGGATGACAGGATCTACCTCGGCCCGCGTTTGGTTCAGGCAATGGACGAGGACTCGCAGCAGTGGTTTGAGGCAAAGAAGGTTTCGCTCGACGACCTCGTCACGGAGGACGGAGCGGAAAAGGTCGTGGAGGCGCTCAAAGGAGTTAGAGGCACGGTCACGATGCAGGAAGCTGTGTCAAAGTGGCGAGAGTTCATGCGTGGAGTGCATCGGCATCCGGGTGAAGGTCCAAAGAGATGGGTTTCTCGCTTTGACATCCACTTGAGCAAGATCGGTAAAGCCCTCCACGCAGTCTGTGACGAGATTCCGGCCCAAGGTTTCATGCACGAGTTCATCCTAGGTTTGATCCTGCTGGACGGGACGGGCTTGGACCCGTCAGAGCAGGCCGCGGTGCTGGCGACCAGCGGCCCCAAGGGCAACTCATACCTCTACCAGGACGTGAAGAAGGCGCTAGCTGAGCAGTGGTCGGAGGAGCAGCTGGCATCGCGGGACAAGCAGAAGGGATACAAGGCCAGGAAAGGCGCTCACGCGGTCTTCGACGACGCCGACGAGCTCGCCGCCTACGCCGAGGAGGTCTATGACGAGGCGTACATCGACGGGTTCGAAGAGGCGGCAGACATCACGGAGTCGGCGATGACGGCAGCCGAAGATCTGATGACCGCTGCGCTCGGTGAAGAGCCTAGAGGAGACGAGGAGCAAGGAGAGGATGCGCTGGCAGCGGCGGCCTCGACTCACGAGACGGACGAGTGGACGGAGACGGCCTTCGCGGCTTCGAGGACGTTCGTGGAGGCAAGGAAACTGATCAACGAGGTCAAGAACGCCAGAGGCTACTTTCCGGTGGTAGGTCTGGGCGCCTACGATGCGCTCCCGACTCAACCCGCCGCGGGAGCTGGACGCGGACGTGCAGTGAGTCGGGGCGGACCGCCTCGCAAGGGCAAGGGCAAGGATCGAGGCGGAGTGGCAGGCCGCGGCAAGGGTCGTGGTCAGAGTCAGAAGCGTCCAGCAGCAACCCCGAAGGACTCGAACCCAGGGACCAACGAGAAGTTCAAGGGGGCTTGCCTACTCTGCGGCGAGCCAGGCCACAAGGCAAGGGACTGCCCCAATCGGGGCAACGGCGGCGCCCAAGGGGAGAGGCGCCGGGCTTTCAACAGCTTCGTCGGCGCGGCCGACGGCTATAGCAAGAAGGTCGAGTTCAAGGACATCCAGGACGTGTTCGTCGGCACGGCCAACGACGAGGGCGAGTCCAAGGACTGCGACGAGGAGGACCTGGACGAGTTCGTGGCCTTCAGCATGGACGACTGCAAGGGCTACGCACTCCTGGACGGTGGAGCGTCCAGATCAGTCGGAGGCGTGGAGCAGCTGGAGTACGTGAACGAGCGCCTGAGTGAGCCCATGGAGGTCAGCCCGGACAAGAGTCTGGGATTCTCATTTGCTGGAGGCGACAGGGCAGACGCACCCTCACGGGTGACCTTTAACGTGAAGGTCCTGAACGATGAGGCTGTGAGCATCTACGTGCTGGATCGTAAATCCCCGGTGCTGCTTGGAATCGATATGCTGAAGAAATACGGGCTCGTGATCGATTACTTCCACAACACCGTGTACTCTCATCGGTTCAAGCGTGAGATCCCCAGTAGAGTGCTCCCGTCAGGTCACTTGGCACTGAACCTTACTGCTCTGGGCAACGAGGCCTCGAGCACCAGCAGCGAATAGGGACAGCACCCTGGTCGCGACAAAGGGACTGTGGAAAAGTCGTCGTCCAAGTCTGTCGCCACCAGGGGCCCCAAAGACGCCAATGAGCTTCCCCAGATGCTCCAGAAGTTGCTCGAGGTCAGTGTCTCCATCATGGGCCCCTACCCGAGCTAAGCCAGTCTATGCTACAACCTATTCTTTGGTATCTATGGGAACGGGCGGACTGGAAAGAAGGTGCGAGAGTTAGTCGGGATATATGGGTCGACTGCTCACACGCTCTCGTTCGGGTTCATCATCGGGTTCGTTTTCAGAGATGTGATCTTCGAGATTTTGAAGCTCTTAGTTTAGCCAGCTTATCGGGGAAACGCCACACTCATATGATTCGAGAAGACGGGGAACACATGATGATCATCGAGAGACTATCGAATAAAACAGCTCGAGAAGTCGAACGTTCGAGATGGGTCGGTCTCACTATCTACCCACGATCCTTGTGTTCAAGAACCGTTTCGGCTCAAGAAGTTCAACGAAGCAGGTCCCAGTTCGAGAGCGCGTTCCAGGCTGATGTCGAAATGCGCCCATCTGGACCAGATGCGTCAGGGGTCCAACCTTGCCGTAGACCTGATCCAGTGCAAGAGCTGCGGGGAGATCCTGTTCAAGCACCACTTCGCGAAGACGAGCGACCAGATGCTACTCCAGTGTGTTCGCTCCCGGCAGTATATCCACCGCCTGGAGACCACGGGTACGGCCCAGCCCGTGGCGCCCAGGATGAACCAGTCGAGCTCCTCGGACAGCGAGGCCACGGCGACGACAACGGCGCCAACGTCAATGCCTCCACCGAGCCCTCCAGGGGCCACCAAGAAGTTGCCCGAGCGCCTGTCGGCCGAGGTCATTCGGAAGCTCACGGACACGGAGGTGCAGCAGATCATCGAGAGCGAGAGGATCAAGATCCGCCAGGAGGAGCAGCAGCGCCTCGCGAAGGAGATCCTCCAGAAGGGCCTCATCGACACGCCGACGGACCCGACGGAGGTGGACGACAGGGCCAGGCCGAGCAAGAGGCTGGGCGTCAGCCAGATGCCCAAAGCCGAGTCGGTTCCCGTGCCAGAGGATCTGCCGACACCGTCGGGACCGCCGAGGCCAGCCGGAGACCTTCATCTTGTGTGAAGAGCTGTGTATTCGGAGCGCTGATCGCGGCGACGGCGGCTCTGGGAGAGATACCGGGCACCGCCTGGGAGGCAGCCGAGACCTATGGCAGGCTGGACCTCGCAGAAGTGGCCTGTGTGTCCGACTCCAGGCTCACGCACGCGATGATCGGGCAAGGAGGCAAGGCCAAGAGATTCAGCGACTGGAACGGGTATGACTTCTCCACCAGGTCGGGTGCAGAGAAGCTCGTGAAGGCTTTGCGGGTCAAGAGGCCTCGAAGAGTTTGGTTTTCCCCACCGTGCGGAGCAGAGTGCCCATGGCAGAATCTGAACCCCGTAACGGCGGAGTCGGAGAAGAAGCTGATCACGACCAGACGTATCCAGCGGAACGTCAAATGGGCTATCGGTCAGCTGCTGAACGAGGGTTTCTGCGACATTCACCTCGAGCAGTCGGGACGCTGCAGGTCGTGGACAGGCAACTTCAAGGAGCTCAAGGAGTCCATGCATGGCTGCAGGATTCACGGGTGCATGTATGATATGAGAGACGAGCAGAGCGGTCTCCTCATACGCAAGGACTGGCACATCGCGACCACTGACCCGCAGTTTGAGAAGAAGGTTGGGAGGACCTGCCCTGATTTGCATCTGCAGATGCCGCTGGAAGGCGGCACGAGGGTGGCACTGTCAGCGAATTATCCCGTGAACCTGTGCCGGAGGATCGCCCAGCACTTCATGACCAGGGCCACATCGGACGAGGCCCTCGCCTATCTGGTGCAGGCCCACAACGAGTTGGACGACGAGCTGTGTGCAGCGGGCTACAGGCGCTTGCGGGAGAAGCGGCCCGCCTCTGAAGGACCACCACCGCCGCCGCCGAAGCGCCCAACGCTGGAGCCCACAGCTCCCGAGAGTCAAGGAGAAAGCGCAGGCGGTCAAGTACCAGCTCCTGATCCGGACGAAGCTGGAGATGCTCAAGTCCCTCCAGAAGGCGAGGCGCCCCCGCCGACGCCCGAGTCGAGAGGTCAAGAGCAGTCGATGGGCAATCTCAGACTGCCACTGCCAAGGAGTGTCCAGACCTGTACCAAGGCAGAGTTGCGCGAGCTGGAGGCCATCATCGCACACATCCATCGGAATTTCGGACACTGCAGTATGAGCACGGTCAGCGCCGCCCTCAAGTCTCGCAAGGCGGACCAGAAGATCATCGACCTTTGCAGACACTACGAATGTCCGTCCTGTAAGGCAGCTCAAAGGTTTCAGATGCGACCTATTGCCAGCTCAGAACCAACGTTACCCGCTCCTGGTACCGAGATGGGTTGCGACAATTTCTATTGGACACATCCTCGACGAGCCTACCAAATTCGTGGGACCCTCTGTGCAGACTATGACAGCCGCTTTACCCAGACGCCGATTCCCTGTCAGAAAGGGGTCGAGGAGCATTGCGGCAACACCACCGCGAAGGAGATGAAGGAGGTAGTGCTGAAGGACTGGATCCACCACTACGGCAAGCCGGAGGTTTTCAGGACAGATCCCGAGGGTTGCTTCAAGCAGGTCGAGCAGCGCGCCTGGGTCTCGGGTAACGGCATGGAGTGGAGACCGGAACCCGGAGAAGCTCACTGGCGAATGGGAGTGATCGAAAGGTGCATCGAGACTGTCAAGGAAATCGCCACTCGCCTCGCCTGGGAGCTACCAGACGACACAGATCCCGCGGACATCTTTCGCTGGGCTTGCGTGGCCAAGAACGACCTGATGCGACACCAAGGCTACAGCCCGATGATGCTCATGATGGGTCGCACCCCGTCGGGGCAAGGCCTGGAGCAAGTGGAGAATCCTTCGGTCCTGAGCGCAAATGTGGTGGACAAACACTTCCAGGAGGTCACGCGCATCAAGGCGGCTGCCTACAAGGCGTGCGTGGACCACTACCTGTCGGAGAAGACGAAGCGTGCCCTGCTGGCCAAGACGAGGCCGTTCAAGACATGGGAGCCTGGTGAGAAGGCACACTACTGGCGAGGTGCGAAGATTAACAGTCACAAGACTCGACCAGGTATCGCTGGTCGATTTCACGGTCCCGCCACTGTCTTGATGCAGGAGCGCGAGATGAAGAACGGAGTTGCGGTGCGTCGAGGAGTTGTCTGGCTTGTTGACGGTGACCGTCTCGTACGAGCAGCGGCCGCTCACCTCCGCACGACTACGAAAGCGGAGCGGACCCTGGAGAGCATCTCCGCAGGGAGCTCCGACCACTTCAAGAAGATTCTTCAGGAGTTGACGAAGGGTGCTTACGACGATGTGGTGGATCAGCCTGGTCCGGGAGAATGGGACGATATTCCAGAAGGAGAGAACGTTGAAGTACCAGACCCACCCAGGATGACAACTCCAAGAAGTATGGCATTTCATCAACCTGATGATCACGAAGGTGAAGCGGGGTCGGGCTCGAGTGGCCACGAAGGGGCCGCGTCTGAGGTCTCACCGCCTCCTATGCCCGCGCAGAATCCAGCTGAACCGGCACCGACGCCGACGAGAGACCAGTTCGACGAGAGCGAGCCACCACCAGAAGGTTACAACAAGCGGGAAGCCAGTAAGGAACCTTCTGAAGATCCAGATCCCAAGAGACATCGCGCCGACTTTGCTGGGTACGTGGGCCATCTGCGCCAGAAGGCGTCGACGCTTGTCATGCCCGAGCTCGGTCGTGCCGAGCCCGAATCTGAGGGCAGTGCGAATTGGGTCTCACCCTGGGAGTATGATCAGAAGACGAAGGCTTCCGACCTGGTGGGCTTCGTGGGCGAGGACGAGCCGAACCTCGCGATCATGATCGGCTTCGCGCTGGAGGAGTCGGATATGGATCAACTCAGCCGGGGGCCTGACAAGGCCCTCGCCGCGATGGTCAAGCAGAACAAGGTCGAGGTGAAGCTCAAGAACCTTACGGCAGAGGACCGTGAGAAGCTCCCGATCGCGAAGGGTAACGAGATCAAATCTTTCCTCAAGTATCGAGTCTGCGAGGCAGCCAGTCGTGCAGGAGTACACCCTGGAGCCCTGATGAAGATGAGATGGGTCATGACAAGGAAAGAGACGGGCGACCTTAAGGCTCGTTTGGTGGTTCTTGGCTTTACCGATTCGGGACTTGGGCGAATCAAGACCGCTTCCCCCACATGCAGTCGTCGAGCTCGCCAGGCTTTCCTGGGCGTCTCCGCCTCGATGGGCTTTCCGGTCTTCAAGGGTGACGTCAAGGCAGCTTTCCTACAAGGCGATCTCGGAGAAGAAGATCGAAATGTCCTGGCCGAACCAGTCAAGGAACTTAGGGAAGCCATGCGACTCGAGCATCACCAATGCGTCAAGCTCAAGAAGGCAGTTTATGGTCTGGTGAACGCTCCTCGCAGATGGTGGACGAGAGTTCGCCGGGACATGGCCAAGCTCGGCTGGGTGGAGTCTACGACAGAACCTTGCCTGTGGTGTTTACGAGAACCTGGAGGACAGCTCATAGGTCTGGCCGTAGCCCACGTGGACGACCTCATGATTGCGATTGACCAGCACTCGGACCTTGCAGTGGACGCCCTCCAGCAGCTCCATCGAGCCTATGAGTGGGGAAGCTGGGAGACTCAAGATTTTGTTCAGTGCGGGACGCGGATTCGACAAGAATATGATGGACGCACGAAGTCATGGGGCCGTATCCATCTTAACATGAATGACTACGCCCAGGAGCTCGTGGAGATAGATATTCCCGCACATCGACATCGTGATCCCGAGCAGCCGGTGACATCGTCAGAAGCTACCCGTCTACGAGCCGCCTTCGGTCAGCTCATGTGGTTAGCTACGCAGGGCGTGCCCCTCATCGGGGCAGAGCTGTCACGGCTGCTGGCTTACAGTGATTTCGCCACGGTGAATACTCTCCTGCAGGCCAACAAGCTCATCAGGCGCACCAAGTTCGAGGCGACCGAAGAGCTCATCAAAGAGAAGCACGCGAATCCGTGTGCGGTCGGCTATTCGGACGCAGCCTGGAATGTTCGACGTGATGGTTCTTCACAGGGTGGTTTCTTGATCTTTCTGACCGACTATACCTTGATGCAGAACCGAGAAGCGCCGATCTCTCTGCTGGCTTGGGCATCGGCGAAGTTGCCGAGAGTGTGTCGGAGCTCGAGCGCGGCCGAGGTACAAGCCGCCAGTGAGTTTTGTAGGCTGCTGCTGAGCGAGATCCTGCTGGGACCCGCGCCTCTCAAGCAGTGGACTTCAAGCTGTGCGAAGATTCCTGGCGCTTTGGTCCCGGACTGCCGCGGCGTGTTCGATGCTCTGGATCGGTCCGAGAGCAGCGCCCTCGGCATGAAAGACAAGAGGAGCGCGCTGGAGGCCCAGGCCCTCAAGCGCGGCATGGCCGCCACATCCACATCCCTGAGGTGGTGTCACAGTGGTGCGCAGCTGAGCGATTGTATGACCAAGAACTCGGAGAAGGCTCGCGCCAGCTACAACCTTTGGCAGCAGCGAGGCACCTGGAAGTTGATATACGACGCTAATTTATTTCCGAGAAGCAGAGAAGACAGCGAGGACTGCAGACACTAGACCAGGCCACATATTTCGCAGTTGATGACGACGATGCCTGGCAGTTGTACACGAAGGATTTGGAGATCAAGGAGGAGGCAGATATTCCCCAAGACTTTCGTCTTTCGGAAGCGGTGAGCGTGATGAGACATGATGCTACCTCCGTGCAGTAGCCTACGCCACCTAAGGGGAATATTCTGTGTGTACAGCAGTTCTTTCTCACCCCCCCTGAGCGCGACATAACTTTACTATTTAAAACAGCCGGCCGTACAGATGGTTCGGGGCATGTGAATCTCAGATAGATTTCTAGGGTTCTGTGTGACTGGAGCTCCCGACCCTGTGTCCGTCCCGTTCGGGTCCTCGGAGCTCTTGAACCCATGTGCAACCACCCGCACGTGCTCTGTTTTCCTGTCCGTAGCCGTCCGGCTTATAGCCGGGCCAAGAGGTCCCTTTTGGCGATTTTGACATATCGGTCCGAAGCTCAGGGGGACCACGCTAGATAGAAAACGAGTTTCTCTCATCATCAACGTTGTGCTCTCACTTTGGACAGTATATCCAAGCTCTACGAGCCCACCGTTTCTGCTGTATTTCAAGCTCTGCGAGCTCAACATCTCCGCCTACCTACACAACCCTGAGGATCATATCCCAGTGCTTGTGAGGGTTTCTCGAAGTGTAAGGCTGAAGATCCGTGGAAGACACGCTCCACTGACACCCCCCTCCCCTGGCAAAACCCCCCCTCTCCCCTAACCCCTTCCCCCCCCCTCCTGGGAGGATCATGGGGGTTAGTAAGTGGTTTGGGGGGTTATAAGAACTTATAACAAAGATACAACTCAGTTATAACTGTAGCAACCTGCTTATATCTTTGCTAAGCACTTCTAAGTAGGCGCCTGGGCTTAACGAAGATAGCAAGCACATCACAAATACTTAGCTAAGTCTGGCGGGTGGTTAGGCGACTTCGGATCCGACTAAGCGGACTTAGGCTGGTGGACTTCTTGGGCTTCGGAGACAGTTAGTAAGTTCAGTAAGTTTGGGGCTAAGCTGGTTACCAAGAGACTTAGCAAGTAGGTTACATAACCCAGCTAACTCTACTTAGCGCTGTGACCCCCCGAAGTGCAGGGGGGAGGATTCCGAATTCAGAGCGTCAGATTTCAAATCAAGTAGCCCAGATTTCAGTTCCACAGCAGGGGTGATTGCAATCAAATCTCTCACATGTGATTTTCAGTTGTGCCGCCGCCGTTTGACCATAGCCGTCTCAATCGAGCCTCTCTCCAGCCATTGCTTTTCCGTTCCTCGACTGAGTTGACTATGGTTAGTCCAACCTTGATGGCGGCGCTGGATCGAATCGTTCCAACTCTGAAGGAGATAGTTTCGCGATTTTCGTCTGTGAGTGAGTCCGACGATAACGACAACGAGATGAGGACGGCCTGTGACATGGTGGAGAAGCTTTGCCTTTCAGAGCATCTCGCCTACAAGCAACGGATGGTGAATGATGACGTGTGCATCCATCCGACGAACCGCTGGGGACTTGGAGTGGAGTTTACGGAGGTGCACAACCTGATGACGTTGATCACCCGAGGCGGCTGGTCTTGGCACGCTGTTGGCACCTGCAGGGCGTTCGAGGTTCCTCCGCCTGGCGAAGCGGCTGCTTCGATTCGTACCTTCAACGAGGACTTGGTGAGCAGCGCGGACGGTTACTTGGCTCCAGTACCCCCTGCACCTAAGATCGCAACGGTGGCATCCAGCCACACGGTCCAAGTGTTGAGGTGCATCAGCAATGGTGCGAAAGGCATGGACTCTGAACTTACTACCGACGAAGGCCGCATTTCTCGTGACAAGGTGTTCGAGGTGTGCAAGAGCATGGAGGAACCGATTAAGATTGGTTTGGAATGGACGGTATTCCACTGGCTACTTGAAGACCGCGTTCCAGGACTCGCCGAGTTCGTGCAGGGCGCCAGCAACATCGGCCATGGATCCGAAAGGGTCCAATCCAAGGTGCAGACTTTGAAACAGATCTCGAAGATGGCCCTAAACAATATCAAGAAGCTGGGTGCTGCAAAATGGGAGGCTGTGACGCGCGTGGTTGAGCGGACTCGCCCATTTTTGAAAGGAAGCGTCGGTCATATGTGCACCTACGTCGAGCACTACAGTGGAGGCGATCCTCCCTGCTTCTTGGACGAAGTGGCAGCATTCGTGAAGACGCTGGGCGAGAACTACCGTGACGTGGCTGGCCAGACGTTTCAATGTCTCGGAGATGCCCCATTCACAGATGGCCCAGAATGGATTACGGCCTGCCTCAAAGCCAGCCTCAGTTGTCCCGAGAACTTCTTGCGCGATGGCCAGTCTCGCATGTGGACCTCTGCTGACATGCAAGCTCTGCAAGGCGGGAAGGTCCGACTTCAAGCAATTGCAGGTGTTGCGCAACATCGGGCATGCAAGGCGTTCCTCCTACAGACCTGCGGCATGGCTCACCCCTCCAAGCAGCACGCAGTCGCCAAGCTGCTCGGAGACCTTGACGTCAGGATGGTTATGATGGTTCACAACAAGAGGGCCAGGACGAGGCGAAGCTTTTCAAGCATGGCTGAGATTGCAGCTGAGTTCATGAAGGACCTGATTGAGATTGACCCTGCAGTGAGCCAATTCGACCCACCCGTCGAGATCTCCAAGCTCGAGGTCGAGAAGAAGGAGCGCGACGGAATCAAGCAGTACGACAACGGCGTCCTGTGCAACAACATCATGGATGGGCTCGGCTTCGAGGTCGGTTCGAAGGTGATGCTGAAGGCGTCCGAGAGCGACGACGGAGCGGTCATGGTGATCGGAGCTATTTCTGCTGGGCAGGTCGCGTTATATCTCAATTCTCTTCTTCTTTATCCTCGTTTGTTTCCTGGTTGCCCCAAGAAGCCCTAAGGGACTCCAGAGAGGCCCCCGAAAGGCACCCAAAAGGAACCAAGTCCTCATCGTTGATGGGCCGAGTCGTCGACCTCATCTGCCTCGTCTCCAGATGCGTGCCATCCCCCGTGTCTCATAGTGCGCGGGCCCAGAATGCCTTTCCGATGTGTTCGAATAGTCGGCCTCATCATTCACTCATCCACTCTCCTTCGGTGCGTTCCTTCCATATTTCTGCGTTTCCCCCCGCGCCTCAGGTCGCCTTGAGGAGCGAGCCCGATAAGAAGGGCAAGGTCACAGAGGTTAAGCTCACGATCAACGCCCTCGTCGATGAGTACAAGGATCGCTTTTGCATGATTTTGCCAGGGGAAGCCAGGTGTATAGTCTAATTGGGCGTAAGCTATCTAGGACACTTGACCCAATGGGGCGGCGGTTGCAATCGCAGCGACAGCTTTGACGATGTCGGAGGCGATTCGGACGACGAGGACGAAGAGGATGAGGAGGAGACGGTGGCAGCGGCGACGATAATGACGAAGAAGGTGAGGAGAGGAGGAGGAGGAGGAGGAGGAGGAGGAGGAGGAGGAGGAGCAGGAGAATGAGGAGGAGAAGGTTGAGGGGGAGAAGGAGGAGGAGGAGGAGGAGGAGGAGGAGGAGGAGGAGGAGGAGTAGGAGGAGGAGCACAGTGAGGAGGATGAGGAGGAGGATGAGGAGCTTGGCACTCTTTCTGCCAGCGTTTGTTGTCATCGCATCCCCCTCACCCGCCGCCCCTAGCTGGTGACGGAGAAGGAGATGCTAACGTACGAGGTCTCTGGGGACAACTCCGCCTTGCTGAACAAGGACGCCGTCTTGATGATCACCAAGGCACGCGTCAGCCTTGCGCTTGCCAACGCCCGCTCCGAGGCGCTGGGGCTCGTTCGGATCCATTCAGAGAAAGGTGGTAAGCCTTGGGTTGTAGCTTCCGAGCGGTGTGCCAAGGGTAAGATTAAGTTGGCCCCTTTCACTACTTCCATTTCGTTCGGCATGAAGGCCTCGAATAATGCTGTTGGAATCGACGTATCGACCGTCGATGGGATTGCGTGTGGTACGATGCTCATCCTGAGCCAGCGCATCGACTTGGATTCCAAGACCTCTCCGTTCAGGGTGCCGTTCTGGTGCGTGAGGTCCAGCCCTGACTCCGATGAAGTCAACATGGTCCTTGGGTCGATGCAGCAGGTAGTGACAGTGAAAGGGGACACAGACAAAGTAGTTCAGATCCCCGTTCTCGTGAATTGCAAGCCCATCCCTGAGGGAGGCGAATTGATCCGTAAGTGCGCCGACCCCAAGGCCCCGAAGCGATCTGCTGCAGGGCCGTCCCAGGCGCCAAAGAAGCCCAAGCTGTAGGCTGGCTTCTCTTTGTTCGTTTCCGACAGCGTGCTTCGAGCAAGCGCTGTGGCGAACGCTGGCAACAATCAGCAGAGGGGGGAGGTCAAGGAGGAGGCACGGTGACGAGGTACGAGACAGGCAAGTCTTAAACCATGGAGTTAGAGAGGGGAGGAGGATGAGGAGGAGGACAGCGACGACGACTACGACAGCAAGAAACGCGAGGGGGAGGAGAGGAGAACGAGGACGGCGACGGCAAGAAGCTCGAAGTACCTTGGACTCTAGATGCTTGCACGGCTCCCAGACAGTGCAAGCTGGCGTGCACGCGTGCTGCCCGCTGAGGTTGACAACTTCCTTCCTCATCCGTCTCACTCTCTCGCGCCTCATCCTCCTCATCCTTCCCGTTCTCCTCGTGTCCCTCCTTCTCCCCCTCCTCCGCATTCTTCCCCTCCTCCTCCTCCTCCACCTCCTTCTCCTCTTCCTCCTCCTCCCCGTCCTTCTGGTTGTCATCCTGTCGTTCGCGTCGTGCGAGTCGTGAGCACGTTCCTCCAACCTCTTGCCTGGGAGACGACCCCCCAGCTTTGTGAGGCTCTTGGGCCCTCGGTGTTGGGCTGGGGGATCAAGTCCCATGGAGGAGGTTGGATGGGGGGCGAACGACTCGGCTCTGGATGCGCTCTGCCCTCCTCCTCATCGAAATGATACAGTTGCCCAGGACCACGCTTGGCACGAAGAGGGGTCCACGTCTGCTTTCGTAGTTACACATGTATCAATTCCTTCATGTGCTCTCACCTCTCATCCAATGCATATCCCCGCTTCGTGCACGCACCCATGATGAGACTTGAAGCTGTCACCCGAACAACTACAAACGAGATGCCAATCCCAATGCACCCTCCTCCTCCACCTCCCCTTCATCCTCCTCCGTCAAGGCATCCTGACATCTCCATCGCCCGCTGTCCGTAAGCATTCTGGCTCAAACCGTGCTGATTGACTCCGCTTTCGCAAGAATCAGCTATGGCGTCTATCCAGTTCGGCTTTGTTGGCATTGCTCCTTTCGGCAAAGTGCCTACGCCAACGTCCAGCTGGATCGCAACTCCCATCGAGCGCAGTGGGAAATCATTCGTGGTCGCAGACAAGCTGGATACGGGATTCGCTCACTTCGTGGACAAGAAATTCGAAATGCTGTCGACGCTCATCGAGGCACGCAACGCCGTCACCTCCGAAAAGATGAAGGCTGCGGCAAGCGCAGCTGATCCCATGGCTGATGGTCAGCTCGAGGGCGGTCCAGCTGTCAAGCGTCCTCGTAGGGAGCTCATCGACGACATCCCACAGGTGATCGAAGTGGGCGTCATTGACATCGAAGGCACGCAACACAGGGTGCACGTCCTTCCAGAGGCCAACTCCAGGGCGAAGCTCAGCATCGAGCTTACAGAGTCGAACATGGCGCTGCTCCGCAAGAAGCCCTTCGCACCGATGCAGAGGGAGACCCCTACGGTTGAGCAGCCGAACGTGGAGTTCGTACAGAGCCGCCGTTGCCTCCGCACCCACTATTACTGCGCCGAGAAGAACAAGATGCGCACCAAGAGCATGAACATTCCTGACAGCGGCGACGGGCTCCAAGAGGCCATCAACCGCCTCGCGCCGACGCTGCAGACGTTTTACGACACGCACAACGCAGCAGTGTAGGCTTGGGTTGCCGCTCATTGTGCCCAGCAGTTGTGCGTAGGCATCGTTAGTCGTTCTAGTCTGTGCCGCTTTTCTGTGCTAGCGACGCATCGCGTCGACCTTCAGGAGCAGTCGCACACGTGCTTTCAAAGCGTCCAGTCACTGGACTGAGGGTGTCTCATGCGAATTGCAGTCGCATGAGGTGGTCTGGATTGGCGCTTGAGGGCGCTGCGAATCAGAAGTGCAAGGCAGGGATAGGCCTCACGCTGCTGGCAAAACGTACCAAAAAGCTGCGTGCATCAGCATCGCCTCCTCCAACCTCCCCCCTCAATCCTCCCTCCAGCATCACCCCGTCCAACCCTGGAGCCGCCTCGGTGCGAGAGACGTCGAGGGCAGCAGGCAGGCGAAATAGAACGACGGGTGCGATCGAAATGCTCACCTGTGGCCAGATCGCAGACCTCAATGGGTTGAGAGGCCAAAATGTTCGAACTGCTGGCTGGCAGTTCGAACATTTGTTCGAACTGCTAGCTGGCACTTCGAACATTTGCTCCTCTACATTTCCTTTTGAATGTAGAGGAGCAGATGTTCGAACTGCCAACCAGGAGTTCGAACAAATGTTCGAACTGCCAGCCAGCAGTTCGAACCTTTTTGGGCCGGCAGTTTTCAGAGCTGCTGCCGGCTTGTTCCTGGTCATGAGTTTGGGTCCCTGGAGGCTGCCACGGTGGTCGATTGCCTTCATATCGGCTGTATCTCACAGTGGTAAGAGCATGTGACACACGTGCTTCACACTCGTCCCGCTCACATACTTCATCCTCCTCTGCCGTCTCCTGCTCCTCCTGCTGCTGGTCATCCTCCTCCTCCTGCTGCCTGGCCGCATCCTCCTCCTCCTCCTCAACCTATCCCCCTTCGTCTAAACACTGCCCTCATCATCACCCTCCCCTGCTCATTTAGCCGTGTCCCCATCTTCACCTCCCCTCGTTCTCCTCCCCCTCCTCCTCCTCCTCCTCCTCCTCCTCCTCCCCCTCATCTGCCTTCGCATCCTCCTCTTTCTCCTCGTCCCTCCTCCCTTCGTTCTCGTCTCATGCATCCACTCTGGCATCCATTCCTGCTGCTGCTCTCGCCCCCTTCTCACAATAGCCGTTTGGGCTCAGTCCTGCTCGTTGGTTGCGTGCAGCTACGATCGGCCATCAGAGGTACCCCAGTCACTCCAATGGCCGCCATTCCTGACGAGGCACAGCGCCTGATCACCATCGTAGACCAGCGCCTGCGCCACGTAACAGCTCAAGCAAGTGCTGGCCTCGACAGGGCCGCTCTCTTGCACTCGCAAGCTCTCCAACTTGCTCATACTTTCTCGTCTTCCACTGCTCTGACTCTTGATGGCAGCACCACCGTGACCAACCACATAGTCCAGGGGCCGTGGACCGCCGAACAGAAGACAGCTTTGGCAAGCGCTCTGTCTGACGCCGCCCAGCGGCGAACGCAGCAGAGGCGTACTGGTCAGCGCCCCCAGCAGTACATTGATCACCTCGACCACTTCTTGACGGGGAGCGACTGGGAGGCCCTCCTCAATCGTGACCTCGCTGCCCCTGCCAAGACGGCATTGGTGGCCGACAGGCTTTGGAAGTTGGGCATTGCCTGCCCCTCTGAGGACGTCCTGAAGCACGCTGCTTCAATTGTCATCGCATGCCACTTCAACGGCCAACATCTCGACGGCAGCTCCAAGAAGAAGTTGGCGGTCGACGTCAAGACCGCAGTGAAGGATCGAGATGCTCGAAGGCGCTACCCGCATGGGCATATGGCGCGCTATCCATCAACTCCCATGCAGCTTGCAGACCACGTGCGCAACTTCGCCTATGCTGACGAAGGTCCCGTGGGCCCGCCTACCGACATGCAGCAGGCGCTTGACGACGCCCGTGCAGGCATGTGCTACAGGACCTCATCGAACCAGCTGAGGTCGCAGGGCATGCAGTTGCAGCTTGCCCCCCAGAGCCCAGCGACTGGCATGCCGAACCTGATGGCCCAGGGCGGCGGCGGGGGCGCCCCGAACCCCATGCTTGCGCTCGCACAGGTGGGACAACAAGCTCTGGCTCTCATGCACTCGGGCATGTTCGACATGGGCCAGCTCCAGCGCTTTGTCAGTCGCCAGCCAAACGGCCAGCCCAACATCACCTACGCGACGGCTCAGCAGGGTACCACTCGCAACGACGTGCTCCCCATTACGGGGCCACCTCCAGCTGGCAGCCTCCTGGAAGTTGAACCGCCCAGGGACATCGGCGACTCTCCTACGAGCAGCGGGGATGCTGAA